CATAGCTACCAGTCAGCAGGTTGAATAGTTGGCCAGCCAGTTGAATGGTTAGCTGGTCAGTCATTTAGGCTTTTATATATTTAGATAAGATTTATTATATGACCTGAATCTGTTCTTAGCGAAAGAGACCACTATGTAGTTTCAATGCTGAATTTGAAAAGAATCAATGAGTTAGCCTAAGCCTGAAAAGTTTCCCCCATTTTTTATGGTATAAGTCAAATAAAAACATTTTTTGCCGAAACCGGTGTGGCTTAGTGGTAGAGCGTTGGACTGCGGACTGAAAGGTCCCAGGTTCGATTCCGGTCAAGGGCATGTACATTGGTTGCAGGCACATCCCCGGTAGGGGGTGTGCAAAAGGCAGCTGGTCGATGTTTCTCTCTCATCGATGTTTCTAGCTCTCTATCTCTCTCTCCTCTCTGTAAAAAATCAATAAAATATATATTTTAAAAAAATTTATCGTGGTTTACTGTTTTTGGAAGGGTCTCTAAACTTTTGCTGGAATGAGACAATATTTTAGATGCTGCAGACTATTAGGTTGCTATGCAATTCTGTTATTAATAGCATAAAAGTGGCCACAGTCTATCAACAAATAAATGGATTTGGTTGTGTACTAATAAACCTTTTTTTTAAAAAGCCAGCTTAAATCTCTCTGGGTTTATATCCCTCAGGCAGAGTTTCTCACAATCACCATGCCTTTTATCTATGCAGTATTTTTTATGAGTAGTTGACCAAAAAACTTGTTTCCTACACAAAATTATTAATTCCATTTTACCCAGCTGTATTAGAAATTCCTCCTAATTAAAAAACAACACTATAATTTATGGTGTTAAAAAAGTCTTTTTTAGATGAACTATAGAATCTCTCTTCCTTATTCCAATCACATCTACAAGTCTCATGAAAATAACAATACCTGTGCATTGTTCTTTATACCTCAACTGCATAGCCAGTTTACCGTGGAAGGATTTAAGACTAGAAAACTTTCTAAAAAGAGAGTGAGAGAAAGACAATATCAATGGGAAAAATACATACTTTTTGGGTACCAGAACAGTTGGATAAATAAAAAATTACTATATAGCCCAACTGGTGTGGCTCAGCAGTTGAGCGCTGACCCAGGAACCAAGAGGTTATTTGTTCAATTCCCGTTCAGGGTACATGCCAGGGTTGCAGGATTGATCCTCAGTAGGGAGCATGCAGAAGGCAGCCAATCGATGATGTTTCTCTCTCTCTCTAAAAAATCAATAAAAACATATTTTTAAAGAAGGGGGAGGTATTAGATATATCTTACCATAATTGTTTTCTGGTTCAAACTGATAAAATAATAGAAAGACATCAAGTTTAGAGTCTAACAGAGCTGGATTTGAATGTGGCTCTGCTAATTAATATTTTTGTAAATTTTGACAAATTATTTAATATCCTTTGACCCTTAATTTTCTCTGCTATTAAAAAGGAATAGCACACCCTAGCTGGTTTGGCTCAGTGAATAGAGTGTCAGGTTGTGGACTGAAGGGTCTTGGGTTTAATTCCAGTCAAGGGCACATACCTGGGTTGCAGGCTCGATCCCCAATAGGGAGTAGACACATTATAGTCAAACTGTCAAGATTAAAAAAATAGAGCCGACAGGCTCAGTGGATGACAGTTGACCTATGGATCACAAGGTCATGATTCAATTCCTAGTCAGGGCAGATGCCTGAGTTTCAGGCTCGATCTCCAGTATGGAGCATGCAAGAGACAGCCGATCAATGATTCCCGCTCATCATTGATGTTTCTATCTCTCTCTCTCATTCTCCCTTCCTCTTTGAAATAAAAAAATATATATACAGGGGGGAGAGGGGGAGGAGGAGAGATAATAAAGCCTATGACAAAGACAGACATGTAGATCAATAAAATAAAATTTAGAGTATAATCCTAATTGGTTTGGCTCAGTGGATAGAGCATCAGCCTGTAGACCAAAGGATCCTTGGTTCAATTCCAGTTAAGGGACAGACCTTGGCTGCAGAGTGTGAGACTCATGCAGGAGGCAACCAATCAATGTTTCTCTCACATTGATGTTTCTCTTTCCTTCTCTCTTCTACTCTTTCTAAAAATAAATGGGGAAATATCCTCAGGCAAGGAATAACAACAACAACAAAATTTAGAGTACAGAAAAAACTCTCAAATTTAGTCAACTCATGTTCAATGAAGAAAGAACATCTTTCTAACAAATGGTGATAAGATAACTGGATATCGAATTTAAAAGAATAAAATTAGACTCTGCCACATACAATATAAAAATATTAATTAAAAATGAATTAATGACCTCCATTACAAGGGCTAAAATGATAAAACTTTTAAAAGAAAACATAGGTGTAAATCTTCATGACTAAATTTGACAATGGTTTCTTAGACCAAACACCAAAAACAGAAATAACCAAAGGAATAGTAAACTGAACTTTATCAAAAGCAAAAACTTTGTTTCAAAGGACACTATCAAGAAAGTTAACAGACAACCAACATAATAAAAGAAAATATTTGCAAATAATTTATGTTAATAGGAGGTTCTAGTATCTAAAATACATAAAAAATTCTTATAACTCAAATATTAAAAGACAAATAACTTAATTCAAAATAGAGCAAAAGACCTGAAAAGATATTTCTCCAAAGAACACACGCAAATAACCAACATCACAATAAAAAGCTGGCTAACATGTGGAAACATGCTAACATTTGTCATTTGTTTGCTAAAATTATGCTTATTAAATCTGAACATCAGAATATAAAACTTGCTGTAAATTTTCTTCTGCATTTTCATGTTTGAAATAGTCCACAATTAAAAAAATATAGAGAATTAGGTAAATGATAGTTAAATATTATTAACTAGCATTTTAAAAGTTTAAAAACTGCATGGACCTATGCTATATCATGAAACATGCTTAATGTTTTTTCCCCTCCTTGAGTAAAAGAGATTACCATTGTAGAAAACTAGAGAAACAGATACACAAAGGGGATGGAATGGGGTGGAAAGAGGGAATCATTTCAGTCCAACCATCTGAAATGACTATTGACATTAGTTTCTGTCAACATCAGTTTGTCATTACTTAGTTAATTTTTACCATGGTAGAAATCTATGCAATAAAAGCTTAAGCAACTGTTATGGTAGAAAAACCAGAATGACTGGTCACTATGATGAGCACGGACCACCAGGGGCTAGATGCTCAATGCAAGAGCTGCCCCCTGCTGGTCAATGTGCTCCTACAGGGGGAACACCGCACAGCGAGAAGCTGGGCTCATGGCTGAAGAGAGCCTCTCCCACTTCTGCAGCAGCATTACGGAGCAGTGAGCTGGGCTGGGCGGTAAGAAGCAGCGAGCAGGCAGGTGGTAAGGAGCAATTGGTCCCATATTGCAAGAGGGATGTCCACCTGCCAGCGTAGGCCCGATCCTTGGGGGTCTCAGACTGTGAGAGGGCTCAGACATCCCCCTCAGTGCACGAGTATCATGCACTGGGCCTCTAGTAATTTTATAAAAATACTTTTGCATCAATACATTTGATATTTAAAGGGAACCACTTTCTCCAAATTGTTAGCAATTCTCTATAAACAATATTTTAAAAATACCTGAAGATATCTGGTCAGACTGGGAAAGCTAGGAATTTTTTTAAAAGTGTTATCTTACTATTGAGCAAATATTCAAAAAGAGTCCAATTTTAAAATCTGTATATAAAGCAAGGGTAAATATCTTTGTGCATAAATCTCTTTCCAAATTTCTAATTTTAAAATTATGGAAATATTAGATACAGGGTCTAAACTTGCTACACAGAGAATTATATTAATTTACAGTCTCTACTCTTTACCTTAAAATATTTGATAATTAAACTTTTAAAATCCAGTATGTTTCCTTTTTTCTGTTGCCATAGCCTTTCCTCTTACTGTCCACCCTTAATAATGGTGGTAACTTAAAAGCCCTAAAAGTTTACAAAAACTCTTGGCTCTCAGGAAGGCAGAGAAAATAATGTTACTAGGCTAAAAAGAAGGGCAATCCTTTCACTGGCCTTGTCACTCCATAACATGTGATTCATCCCTGAAAGTAAACAGATTCCTTCTTTCTGAATTCTAGTCCTACACTTGATGAAGTTTAAATAAGATTATATATATATATATATATATATATATTTTTTTTTTAATATATTTTATTGATTTTTTTTTTTCCCCAGAGAGGAAGGAAGAGGGATAGAGAGTTAGAAACATTGATCAGCTGCCTCCTGCACACCCTCTACTGGGGATGTGCCAGCAACCAAGGTACATGCCCTTGACCAGAATCGAACCTGGGACCATTGAGTCCGCAGGCCGGCGCTCTATCAACTGAGCCTGTTAGGGCAAATAAGATAATATATTTGAGAGTACACTGAAAACTATAAAAAGGTACATAAATATTATTATAAAAATTAATAACAGGAGGGAAGGAATCAATAAATTTTAAAAATTCTGCTGTGAAAGGAATATAACATGAGACAAAAATAATTCATTACTGTCTGGCCAGTTTGGCTCAGCGGATAGAACATTGGCCTATAGACTGCAGGGGCCCAGGCTCAATTCCTGTCAGGGCATATGTCTGGGTTGTGGGCTCAATCCCCAGTGGGAGGTGTGCAAGAGACAGCTGACTGATGACTCATTATTGACGTTTCTTTCTTTTTTTAATATATTTTATTGATTTTTTTACAGAGAGGAAGAGAGAGGGATAGAGAGTTAGAAACATCGATGAGAGAGAATCATCGATTAGCTGCCTCTTGCACACCCCCTACTGGGGATGTGCCTGCAACGAAGGTATGAGCCCTTGACCGGAATCAAATCCGGGACTCTTCAGTCTGCAGGCCGATGCTCTATCCACTGAGCCAAACCGGTTTTGGCCATTATTGATGTTTCTATCCCTCCCTCTCCCTTCTTCTCTGAAATCCACAAAAATATATTTTAAAAAACAACTTGTAACTAATATTTTAAAGAATAATAATAATTCACTAGAAATCTCACCGAAGATCCAGACCAGCTTCTTTCCAGAGTAAATCCATCAAGCGCAGCATTTGGAGTGTTAACATATCCTGTCGTAAATCTAAGAGAAAAATCCTGCATTATTACAAATGTTTTCCATTTTATAATTGCTTACATTAATTTAAGATTAGCAGCCAGAATTAACTAAAACCATTGGAAAATGCTCTGATAATTTTCCCCCCAAAGTTTTAAAGTTGATCATATTCATTAAGAGGTTTGTTGGGGCCCTGGCTGGTTTGGCTCAGTGGATAGAGCCAAATATCTCTCAGCCTACGAACTGAAAGTCCCAGGTTCGATTCTGGTCAAGGGCACATGCCCAGGTTGTGGGTTTGATCCCCAATGGGAGATTTGCAGGAGGCAGCCATTCCATGATTCTTTCTCATCATGGATGCTTCTATCTCTCTTTCCTTCTTCCTTCCTCTCGTAATCAATAAAATTTAAAAAAAAAAAAAAAAAAAAAAGAGGTTTGTTGGTTAGCACATTCCAGTAACACAATTCCAAAAACAGAGTGTAGCCGAAACTGGTTTGGCTCAGTGGATAGAGTGTCGGCCTGCGGACTGAAAGGTTCTGGGTTCGATTATAGTTAAGGGCATGTACAAGAGGCAGCTGATTGATGATTCTCTCTCATTGATGTTTCTAACTCTCTATCCCTCTCTCTTTCTTCTGTAAAAAATCAATAAAATATATTTTTTTAAAAAGTGTAAAAATAATTTAGTTTACTATGTGTAAGCTACTCTACTAATTATAATACAGCTTTAACACAATAATGTTGTATTAAAGCATCCACACTAATTTTTTTCCTTCTGTTTTAATTTTAGCGATACACAGGAAGCTTTCAAGAATTACTAAAGTAATAACTGCATGATGTGTTCACAAAACAGTAATAGCTTATTTTATTTATGATGTCCAGGGGTAATTTTCAGGTAATAGAGGCTGTGAAAGTAGTGACTTCTACATAATGATATTCATATGGTCAAGTGATGTTAAATGTCTGGCAAAACACTATAACTTCTTTTAAAAGTAACTGTAAGCACATATTATGCTAAGCACATTTACTTGTTATCTCACTTAATTCCTGTTAATAACCCAATATATACATGCTATAACCCTCATATACATGAGGAATCTGAAGCTCAATGAATTTTGCATGATTTGTCTGCAATCGCACAACTAATAAGTGGTAGCACTTGGTGTGAATACTTCAGAGGCATTCCCTTTATAAAGTATGGGCCAGTAAAGTTTTTCTTGTGTTTTTTAAAGACTGATTTTTAGAGAGAGAGGAAGGGAGATGGAGAAAGAGAGAAACAGCGATGTGAAACATTGGTTAGCTGCCTCCTGCACACCTTTTACTGGGAATCGAGACCACAACCCAGACATGTGCCCTAACAAAGAATCGAACTGGCGCAAAGAATGACGCCCAACCAACTAAGCCACATCTGTTAGGACTCAGTAAGGTATTTTAAAAAAACAATACTATGGCCGAAACCGGTTTGGCTCACTGGCAGAGCGTCAGCCTGCGGACTGAAAGGTCCCGGGTTCGATTCCGGTCAGGGGCGTGTACATTGGTTGCGGGCACATCCCCGGTGGGGGGTGTGCAGGAGGCGGCTGGTCGATGTTTTTCTCTCGTCGACGTTTCTAGCTCTCTGTCGCTCTCCCTTCCTCTCTGTGAAAAATCAATAAAATATTAAAAACAAAAACAAAAAACAATACTGTGGCAGCAATATCAAAATTGTTATCGCTGAATTAAGATGCATGAATATGTTATCGGAAATATTCTGTTGTATTTCACAAGCTTTTTACAGAATAGACTTTGTATTTTTAGGGGGGAAGGGGAAGGTATATTAGAACAATGTATGTGAGCTGTAGAAGTCAATTTCCGAAAGGGGGTGAAGGGGGGAGATTTAGGACATGCTGAATTCAACCTCACGACCACTGATAGCTATCTCTTTTGGATGCCATTTGCTGTTACACATTTACACATTTCAGATAAAGAAGCCGACAACAAAAGAAGGAATACTAAGAAATTTGGCACTATAAAAACTTTAGTACATACCATCACCATTTTTAAAAATCACGCCGACTGAATCCTCACCAAATACCTTGTTGTTGTATACCAGCCACAACGGCTTCATTTTAGAATCCATGTATTTACACTTTTCAACACTGAAATCAAATAAAGGGAAAATTAGCCCACTTCATTTTAAAGACAAGACAAAATTAAAATTTTGCTGTGATATAGTAGTTGAGGAAGAACACCCTCACCTGTTCCAGTCTACAGAAGTCAGAACTAGAGCATTTCCTCTTGGCAGAAAAGCAACCTGGATGACAGCCTTTGGCATGTAGTGATGCCGGATGGGCTGGACTAAACACCCAGGTTTACCCTTCTTACTACCTTACATTTAAAATTCCTCCTTTCTTTTCCTTATTCTTATTCTTATGTTATGTATAGTCAATAATATTATTAAATTAAAATTATTAAGAGTTCATTCTTAATTTCTTAAAAAGGGGTCAATTTTGAATACTGATATATTGAATACAAGTTATTACTTCTCCATTATTGCTTCTATAGAGAATGAAAAAGTGAGAAATAATTTTCCAAATTTATTCAAGGTCTCATTTTAAAATAAGAAAGCTGGTTAGTAAATAATTTTAAAATAAGTTAATTATTAAATGATGGGTACCAACATATTTACTTACATAGGATTTTCAACTCTTAGAAACCAGTAATAGAAAATAAATTTAATTACTAGTATATACACTTGACAGAAAGTTAACTTGAAATAACTTGCACTAACTCCACAGGTAAATTTAGCTAACAGACATACATCCTATTGAACGCAAGAATAACCTTTGAGGACATTTGAGATTTTCCTTCTTTAATTATATTCCACTTATTGGTGCTAATACGTGGCCCCTTTCCTCCTCCAAGGCAGTCACTTAGAAATCCTTTCTTTATTGCTGTTTTCAGGTAACACCCACTGAACATAGCACAGACTGTCACTTACTAGAGTTCTGAGAGGATGACACATGGGTTCAGAGGGGACTGCAGGTCAGAGAGGGCTTCCCGGTAAGCATTCTGTTTTAAACAAGTGTGCATGGCCTCTTTGCCTTTGGCTCTGTTTAGCTTCATTGCATTCAGTTTGATTAAACTATTTAAAGTTTTTAATTTATTGAGTGCTTCGACCTGAAAAATAAGTTTCCCCACCACCAAAATTAATTCATGATTAAAAATAATACAAAATACTATGACACAATTTGATCATATTAATCAGTAGCCACTCAGAACACATCCCCAATCCCACACACACAAACCAGCTAAAGTAAAAACAGTACTTGGCTTAGGAAAAACAGATACAACAGCATAAAAAACTTACTTTTATCACTTGTTACTTAAAACATCATTTTTCAAACTTTCTTAAACCCTTTTCTTAATTGGGATCTTATCAATCAGGAAAAAGAAAAGGGACATAGATTATGGATAAAAAGATAAGTATAAAACTTAAAACTACATAGAACTCTGCAACTCATTAAGTAATAGAATTTAAAACAAAACTAACCTGAACCACTCCATTTAGCCAACTCCGTAGTTTAAGAGGAAAATTTATGTACAAGTAACTTGGGGTTCCTAATATTCAACCTTAATACCTGCTTCTTGTCATCATTCTTACATGACATCTTCTCAGTATATTCTCTTTCCATTAATAGTATGTAAAAATGGATTTTTTTGTGTAATAAATAAAAATACAGACATAGCCAAAACCATTTTGGCTCAGCGGTAGAGCATCGGTCTGCAGACTGAAAGGTCCCAGGTTCAATTCCGGTCAAGGGCATGTACCTTGGTTGCCCAGTAGGGGGTGTGCAAGAGGCAGCTGGCCGATGTTTCTCTCTCATCGACGTTTCTAGCTCTCTATCTCTCTCCCTTCCTCTCTGTAAAAAATCAATAAAATATATATATTTTTTTAAATACACAGTATTTGTTGTCTAAGTCTAAATTAATGACTTGTTTTTATAATGAGGGCACTGGCTATCAAAACTTTTGGCTCAGAGCATCGGCCTGTAGATTCCAGGATCCGAGGTTCGATTCCGGTCAAGGGCATGTACCTTGGTTGTGGGCACATCCCCAGTGGGAGGTATGCAGGAGGCAGCTGGTTGATGTTTCTCTCTCATCAATGTTTCCAACTCTTTATCCCTCTCCCTTCCTCTCTGTAAAAAAATCAATGAAATATATTAAAAAAACAACTTATGCAAATAAAAAAAGTTTATGCAAGAAATACAAGGTCAATCAACAATGGCCAACTTAATCAAAACCACTGTGTTTAAAAGGTAACTTTATCTAATGACTGAGGGTCTTTCCATCATGTTACATAAAATTCCCCTAAGTCAGCTTGGCCAACCACAAGTCAAAATATTATAATTTATCATATGGCATTAAAACTAGAAACAACTAATGATAAAAACAAAGTATGCATAAGTTGTATACAACAAGCATATAAAATATGTATACAAAAAAAACATTATGAATACTATGGCTTGAATTTCCATGAACATGAGATTTATTTTATATCATATTTTCATTTTCAAACTCTGCTCCTATTCAAGAAAACTACTAAGACTCTGTATGGAAGTGAATTCAGGCATACAGTTTTTACACATAGGCTAGGGGCTTACACACAGGAAACTGGGAAATTTCTATTAGCTTGATGATAAAATTGAGATAGCTGACCAACCTGCCAAGTTAGTCATCTGTCAAAACCACAGACACTTCGTTTCTCAACAATTCCAGAAGCTGTACAAACAGTGGTGAAAAGGAAGCCAGCTAAAAAATGGGCTATGCAAACAGGAACTTTTAGAAGTATTTCAAATTTTAATTTCTTCCATGTTTATACAGTTGAGAATTTTCATGCCCCATCACTAATGTGTTGATATCCATTTCCTGGAACAGTGTCCTGAATACCCATATGGCCATAAATGCTGCAACACCTTGTCTTTCTGTAGCTTTGCAGTGAAAACAAGAACTGCCATGTAAAGTGTAGTCTTCCCCTTGCAATTCTTCAGTATAGATAAAAAAGACTAATATAATCATACATATGTCATATGATTGCTGTTATAAAAGTCAAGCTGAAGCCCCAGAGAACCAAGAAGATGTCCAGTGTGATTTGAGCATATGAGTGAAGCCAAAGAAGTAGAGATTTCATCAAGTGTGGCCTTACAAATTTCGACAAGTTTGAATTTTTATTCTCCATGCAATAAAAATTACTGCAGGGGCCAGGCCCGGAGCAGCGGCTGCCAGGCTGGGAGCGGCCAGGCCCGGGGGAGCAGCCGGGTCGGGTGCGGCCAGGCCCGGAGCAGCGGCTGCCAGGCTGGGAGCGGCCAGGCCCGGGGGAGCAGGCGGGTCGGGTGCGGCCAGGCCCGGAGCAGCGGCTGCCAGGCTGGGAGCGGCCAGGCCCGGAGCAGCAGCAGCCAAGTCCAGAGCAACTAGGTCGGGAGCGGCAGTGACCAGACCCGGAGCAGCTGGTTGTGGAATGAACCAGAGCAACAGAGGCCAGGCCCTGAGCAGCCAGGCCCAGAACAGCTCGCTCCTTGCCTGCCCCTGCCCCACGGCTGCTTCTCAGACATGGCTGGAAACTTTCGTGGGAACTTGAGGGTCTGCTGAATCAAGTGATGAAGGCTTAGATCTGGATGTGTTGAATTAGTTTAGGACTGGGGTGTTGATCTGTGAGTGCCTTGGGTGGGGCCTGGATGAGGCTGGTTGACCTAGTGGGAAATGTCTTTTGTGTGAAGTGTATCATTGGGCATGTGGAGGTATTATTGATATGAGAAAATGCTAAGTAACTGATTTACTATCTGAAAAGGGATTTACTATTGGGGAAATTGAGGGAAGAAGAGACTGAACATAAACTGCACCTATGGATGAGGACAATGGGGGATGGGGGGGGACGGAGGGTGGGATGGGAACCTGGTGGAGGGGGGAAGAAATGAGGAACCTTTGTAATAATATGAACAATAAAGATTGATTAAAAAAAAAAAAAATTACTGCAGGGATTTTAAAAAGGGAAATGACATAATACATCTACATTTTAAAAACATAATAACTTTATCTGTAAAGAAAAGGGGTGAAAGGGAGAAGGGAGAATGAAAAAAGGGTACAATTCAGGAGGTTAATGAAGACATACAGGTAAGAAGGTAATGGATGAAACTAGGGTGGTAGCCATGAAAACAAGATACATAGATATGTATGAGATAGATTTAAGGGGACTATAAAATTAAGGGGATTAATAGTATCAATCTCAGATTACTGTGAAGAATAAATGGCCCATAATAAGTGCTTAGCTATTATTACCATCATTAAAGGGCTTTCCAAAAGGGAGGGATCAGATATAATTCATTTCAACATGAATTAAAAGGTCATCAATATTAAAATTATCTCTGAAAACCTATGGGAGTTTCTCTGGCAATGCAAATGAGTTAGAAAAGTGCAGTGGCTACGAATTTGCTTCCCTGCATTCAATGCTTCTGCTAAAACTACCATCCATGGACTTACAGAACACCTTATCTATCATTGCAGTATTTAATATAGCATTGCTTCTGAACAAGAAAATGAAATGCAGCAATGGGCTCGGTGCTCATGGAATTCACTGGTCTTACCATATTCCCCACCACCCTAAAGTGGCTGGCTTGATAGAACAGTGAAATGGCCTTTTTAAGACTCAGTTACAGCACCAGCTATGTGGTAATACCTTCCAGAGCAGGGGCAAGGTTCCCCAGAAGGCTGAATGTGCTCTAAATCAGTGGCCAATATATGGTGCTGTTTCGCCCAGAGCTCAGGTTCATGGATCTTAGAATCAAGGTGTGGAAATGGAGATGACACCACTATTACTCTCACGGTAATCCACTAGCAAAACTTTTGTTTCCTGCTTCTGTGACCGTATGCTCTGCTGGCACAGTTATCTTAGTTACAAAGGGAAGAAATCTTCCACTGGGAGACACAACATGATGCCACGGAACTTGAAGATTCCTTTCCAGCCACTCTGCAGTCCTCATGGGAGAACAGGCGTAGAAGGGGGGCGTCACAAAGCTGGCTGGAGAAATTGACTCTGCCAAGATGCAATTAGCCTACTGCTCCACAACGGAGGTAAGGAAGAATACATGTAGAATATAGATCACTTGGTATTATCAGGCTCTGTGATTAAGGTCAATGGAAAATTATAAGCCAATCCAGGCAGGACTACTAATGGCCTACACTCTTCAAGAATGAAGGTTTGAGTCATTACAGCAGGTAAAAAAAAAAAAAAAAACACAACCAACTGAGGAACTTGCTAAAGGCAAAGGAATCACAGAATAGGTTGGAAGAAGGTAGTAATAAACACCAGCTATGACCATGTGACCACGAAAATGAGGATTGTTATGAATATCTCATTTTGTTATGTGTTTGTATGTGGTATGTTTTTAGAAAATGTCTGTTTCTTCTTGCTCTTATTTCCTTATCACAAAACATAAGATAAATTGACTTTATATTAGGGTAGTTAAATGTTAATTTTACATCATAGTATTTTACAGTATATCAAGGAGAAGAATAATCACCATTCAAGGAACCTCCTCTTTGGGGAAAGAGGTCAGTCATTTTTTTCTTTTAATATATATTGATTTTTTTTTTTTTTTTTTTTACAGAGAGGAAGGGAGAAAGATAGTTAGAAATATTGATGAGAGAGAAACATCAATCAGCTGCCTCCTGCACATCTCCTACAGGGCATGTGCCCACAACCAAGGTACATGCCCTTGACCAGAATCGAACCTGGGACCTTTCAGTCCGCAGGCCGATGCTCTATCCACTGAGCCAAACCAGTTAGGGCGGTCAGTCATTTTTAATTATACTCAGGGTAGTTGTATCAGGTTAGGTGAAATTTTTACCTTGTTATTGCCCTTATTTGGAGATTAAGCATGATTTAACATTCTGTATATGGATGCTTCATCTGCCATAGTTAATTTGACTGAGCAATGGAATGTTCAGAAATTTGAATCAGTAGACTGAGAAAAGCAAATTGCCATCCCCTATGTGAGGCTTGGGTCTCATCCAAGCATGAAATTTTGAATAGAACAAAAGGCATACCCTCCTGTGAGAAAGAAGAAATTCCACCCGTCTTATTGCCTTGAACGTGGACAAAGGTCTTTTCCTGTTTTTGGACTTGAACTGAAACATGGGCTCTCCTTGGGTGCCATGCTTATCTACTTTCAGAATATTGGCTCTCCTGGATCTTCTGCTAAAATTGTTGAAACTTCTTTTTTTTATTTAAATTTTTATTTTAAAAAATATGTTAATAAGATTCAGTTACTAAAATCTCTATAAGTAATGAAATGGAAGAAATTATACAATTTATCAAGTTCCATGTGGCAAATTAAATTTGAAGATTCTCATCACTGATATTTCTATCTCTCTCTTTCTCACTCTTCCTCTCTGAAATCAATAAAAATATATTTAAAACAAACAAACAAAAAACAAGCTGATACCTGCTTGGAAAGCACTTTCATGTGCCCTACACTTCCCCGGCAGTACGCTTCAAGGATGACACCAAACTGTATGGAGATAGCAGGAATGTGCACTTCTGATCTGCAGAAAGTTAATATTATGATGGTTTATCAAACACTTTAGATTCACCAAATGAAAGTAATGACTTCTTTATTCTATTACTAGAGACCCAGTGCATGAAATTCATGCACTGGGGGTGGGGGGTGGGGGTAATCCCTCTTGCAGTCCGGGACCCCTCAGGGGATGTCCACCTGTCGGCTTAGACCCCTGGGCCCAAGCAAGCACTCAAGACATCCCTCTCACAGTCTGGGGCTCTCCTAGTCCAGGACCCCTTGCTGCTTACTGCCGCGGAAGCAGGAGAGTTCCTGCCACTGCTGCTGCCTCGCCAGCCATGAGCTTCTGGCTGAATTGGGGGAGAGGAGAGAGAGGGGAAAGGAAATGCCGCTCAAACAGTAGCTGGCTTGCTGCTTCTTAGTGCTGGCCCCGCCCTCCTGCCCACTGGTGGAGGTGGGGGCTGATCGGGGGTGGGCTAGCCAGGAGAGGGGCCATGGGAGGTTGAGGCCCCAGCTGTGAGAGGCTGAGGGGTTGTGGTAGTGCCCCATCCCACTTCTTCCCCACCTCTGTGGAGATGCTGGGACCACACAGCCCCCTCTCCCACTGTCTCTGGGGAAGGGGAGCACTGGGATCAGGCCTGTACCCCGCCTCTCCCAGGGTGCCAAGGCTTGGCCCTCTCAGCCCCAGCTTTGTCTGGAAGGTCATCCAGAAGGACATTTGGCTGTCCTGTCTAATTAGCATATTAGCTCTTTATTATATAGGACTAGAGGCCCAGTGCACAAATTTGTGCACAGGTCGGGGGTCTGTCCAGCCCTCTATGATCAGGGCCGATCGGGGCCTCAGGGCTAGCTGTCCAGGGGGAGGGGACGTGGGAAGTTGGCCAGCAGATCCCACCCCTGATCAGGGTCAGGGGAGGTGATTGGGGGCGGGGCCAGTTAGGAGGAGGGGGCACAGGAGGTTGACTGGCTGGCTGCAGTGAGTGTCATGGCAACCTAGTTCCAGTCATCCAGTAGCTTGAATTTTATATATATGGATAAAATTAACTTATGATGCCAACCAAATGAAAAAAAAAAAAAATCCTCTTGCTAAAATATTTTAGTGAGATTTCAATTCTCTAAACATCATAGTACAAAAAGGTATGAAATTTTATAGTTACTTAATTCTTCAAAGAAATTCAAATATTTTACATATTACCTTATTTGCTTTTTAGAGTGAAACGGTAATATTACCAATTTAGAGATACTTACAAAGATCTGACTCATCTCACACAATTGACTAAATCTCCCAACTAGTTTTTATTCAATTTTTCTCACTTAAACAATGTTTATATATTTGAAACAGGAAGGAATACCTTAATCCCTGAGATGTTTATAAAACACTTAACTTACCTAAGGTGCCAAAATAGGAACTGCCCTATCCTCCGATTAGCAAGTGCTCTTTCTAATAGGAATCTAGAGAGGGCACAATCGAGAAAAGGCTCATATTTTAAAACTTGCACCAGTTGTAAAAGATATTGCGAGAGTTCTTCATCACTGAAAAAAACAAAAAAACAAAACACACATAGTAAGTCACTTAACATCCTGTGCCAGAAAAAGATCCCTTCGTATCAAACTACTGAGTATTAACTTTCGGAGGCACAATGGTTCTTTTGGGTCAGGCTTGTTGCATGCTTCCATTCACGGCTCCACTATTACAGTAACACAAGAAAAGCTGAAGATTTTAGCAAGAGGGAGAGTGGAAGGGAGCAAAGAACAGATATATGGAGATGATTGTACTTATAATCGGCCAGAGTTATGATAAAATTCAGTACTAACTTCTGGTCATGTTGAAAATGTTGTGTACTCAGTCAAGCAATCATTTTAAAACTATGTCAGTACTGTGGTAATTTATTTTCCTCTCCTATGATTAGGATTAAGTAATTCTTTCTCCCAGATAATGAATGTACAATTAAAATCTTAACTTTAAGTAGTCTGAAGGATAAGAAAACGAGTGCATTTGTGAGTACCAAACCACTGAATTAATAAAACATAATATCGTAATTAACATGAGTTGAATTAAGGTCAGTGGTTCTCTACTGGATGTCCATCCCAAAACCATTCACATGTAAACGCACTCCCATCAGAGGCAATTTCAGTAGTCAGGTGAGATATGAATCTCAAGTCCACAACTTACAAGTAAATGCCATAGATTTCCACACAGTTTTGACCAAAGGGGACTGTACAAGCCTATTCACTGCAGGATTGCTTATAACAGACAAATCAAGAGAAAACTTAAAGTGTTCCTCAATAGGGGAATGAAATAATTAAGACATATCCTTATAACAGAATATTACACAGTGGTAAAATAAATAAACTACATTTATAATGAGAGAGACTGACCTTAAAAACCTAATGTTAATTTTTTTTTTTTTTAAAAAGCAAAGTGCAAAACAATACACACAGCAAAACCCATTTGTGTGAATTTTAAATGTATTATATTATTCTGTATCTATATTTTTATAGATATAGAAGTGTGGTAAAGCAGAAAGTGTTGTATAGAAGGATAAATATCAAATTTATGATTATGGTTGTCTCTGGAAAATGAAAGTAAAAATCAGGGCTCAGTTAGGAAACTACAAGGACTTCATCTTTACCTGTAATGTTATTTACTTAAAAATTAAAATTAAATAATCATTACAAAATATTAACATTTATTAATTCTGAGTGGTAGATAGAAGTTAACGCAGCATCTGGAAAAAGGCTGGCCCTTGGCAGGCATCTGGAAACAGATTTAAAAGGCTTTCTACCAACCTAACAGAAAAGAGTAGCTCAATGTGCTTAAACTGTGCAAATAGTACATTTTATGTTACATATCCATTTTTCTTCTGGAACTCTAGAATTTTGGTTTGTGCTAGATAGAGGGTGCTTATGTGATTAGCAACCATGTCTCTAATGCTTCCCTTGTAGACATTTCAAACATGTGGGTTTCAACTCATGACTGGGGGAAATTAAGTGTATTTAGTTTGATTCCACTGGGAAAGGAACCTTAGAAACTTGCCTGGTTTCCTCCAGACTTTGCCCCATGAATCTTTTTCCTTTGCCAATTCTGCTCTGTATTCTTTTGCTGTAATAAATCATAACCAAGAGTATGATTATATGTTGAGTCCTATGAGTCATCCTAGTGAATCATAGAACCTGAGGGTGATCGTGGGACCTCTGATCCAGTATGTTTTGTTTTACAATATAGAGTAAATGCAGAGAGAGAGGGAGGGAGAAAGAGAAAACAAATGCTTTAAATTCTGAATAATTTCTACCCTTTTGCTTTCTTATTAAATATTCAAGCAGACATTACCTTCTCTATACACACCCAAGTAATTCCTTGCCCCCCAAAAAGCCAACTGCAGGAGATACCTCATCTGTCGCAGGCAGCCTACAGCATATTCCCGAACGTACTGATCTGGATAGTTGAAATCTAGAAGCTCCAGGGCCTCCCGAGGAGGTAGTTTAGGCCAAATCTGAAGTAGTGCCTGAAGCTGTTTAAAAATTGAAACTGGTTCAGAAATTATAGGGGTTAGGAGAAGAGATGGGTCAAAGGAGAAGCATACTTGCAATTAGAGAGGCCTCAAAAATCCATTCCTGTTAATATGGAATAATAAAGACTGTCACAGTTGAAATATTCTATAGATAGGCAGAAAATAAAAGCTATTAAATACTTACTTGGAAATAGATGATGCACTGAATATATGATTCTACAATCAATGACCATTAAATAATTTTAAAAGAAAGAGAGGGTGAGGAAGAGTACATGTGCATAAAATTATCAAGAAATACTTAAAGGTAAAATTCAAAGTACAAATATAAGTAGCAATGCTCAAATTAATGAGTTATTTACATGTAAAGTTCTTTAATAACAACAAAAAATTATTTTGAGGGAGTTTACTTTTAACTCTTAATATTTTAAGAGAATCTAATGACTTGAGGGAACTTTTTATTGATCATAACATGCTTAAACCCTAAATCATAATAAGTAACTCATTAAAAATAAATAGTACCTCGTTGTTTATTTTTATAAACAAGTCAAATACAACTAGTCTTCTTCTTGCAGATGCCACTTAGAAATGGTCTAGATTTAGGATAAAAAATAATCTCTTGGGGAGATAAACTGGGACTACAGGTAGAGGGCAGATTTGGGTACACATGGCCACCCACATCTTTGGAAACCTGAGTTCCAGAAAGTACAAACTTCTTGAGCTTTTATACAAGACTTAGGCTCTAAGAATTTAAGAATTAAGAATAATGTTTCTTTAAAAAAAAAAAATTCAACTTTTATTGATTTCATAGAGGAAGGGAGAGGGTGACAGAGAGAAACATAAATGATGGGAAAGAATCACTGATTGGCTATCACCTGCTCACCCCATATTGGAGATCGAGCCTGCAACCCGGGCATGTGCCCTTGGCTGGAATCGAACTTAGGACCCCTCAGTCCGAAGGCTAATGCTCTATCCACTGAGCCAAACCAGCTAGGGCTCTCATCATTGATGTTTCTTCTTTATTTTTTAAAAATATATTTTATTGGTTTTTTACAGAGAGGAAGGGAGAGGGAGAGAGAGTCAGAAACATCGATGAGAGAGAAACACCAATCAGCTGCCTCCTGCACACCCCCTACTGGGGATGTGCCTGCAACCAAGGTACATGCCCTTGACCAGAATCGAACCTGGGCCCTTGAGTCCGCAGGTTGACGCTCTATCCACTGAGCCAAACTGGTCAGGAAACATCATTGATGTTTCTCTCTCTCTCTCCCTCTCCCTACCTCTCTGAAATAAATAAAAATATATTAAAAAAAAAAAAAGAATTAAGTAAAAATAGTTTGTATTTTATCTGCATCTTATCAGAGCACAGCTTGAGACTCCTCAGGATGCTCTTGGCAAGAGTTCTTTCCTCATGTTTTTGATATGTTGATAGCATGCATTCTTATCAGGGATGGTTAAGTGGGAAGAAAATTGGTTATGGAGAGCAAAAAAATGTTTTGTTAATTATGAATGTAGCACTCTAAAGCTCAACCCTATGTAATAAAATCTTTGTCCTTAATATTTATCTTGTTGGGTTTTCTTGGTTATTGCTGACATCAGGTCCAAGGAGAAAACACAAAACGCATACAAGAAAGTTACAAACTATGGCAAATAGACAGCAATGAGTGGAAAACGTTCTCTCAACTGACTGCCCCAATCTCGAAGTCATGTTGTGAGAGATGGTCTGTTACTACCTGCAAGCTGCCTTGTATATGTCATTTGGGCTTTGAGAATTAAATAAATAAAAATAGTTTACATTTTATTATTTAATTCTACAAATTATTCAACTTCTCATTAATTATGTCGGTGCCTCCCTAAAATCAGTAATATCTGAATATCTAATAGCTAAGTTAAAAGGTATTTTCTTTTTTTGTTTTTTTAATATATTTTATTGATTTTTCACAGAGAGGAAGAGAGAGGGATAGAGTTAGAAACATTGATGAGAGAGAATCATCGACCAGCTGCCTCTTGCATACCCCCTACTGGGGATGTGCCCACAACCAAGGTACATGCCCTTGACCAAAATCGAACCCGGGACCTTTCAGTCCACAGGCCGACGCTCTAATCCACTGAGCCAAACCGGTCCCGGCAAAAGGTATTTTCTTGTATCAAAGAAATTTCGAAGTTTACTAAAGATAATTTAAGAAATTAACTTAATTTTTCAATTGTTATATATTTACAGGATAGCTCTTGAGTAAGTTTTAAAGATTTTATTACCTTGCTATTAATATACATTGATATAAATTGATACATGTAAAACTTAATATACATAATTACATGAAAAATTTTCAACGAAACAGTAAAATGTTAATTTATTTTAACTTTTACCTACCTTAAAATTTTGTTTAATTATTCTTAAAAGTTGCATTGAATAAAAATAAGTATACTTGTTATTCATATATTTTAAAGTATGCATTACATAAACAGACAGATACTTGTCTGTGGTATAAAAATCTCATGGGAATGAGGTTATAAAGAGACTTAAAAAGATTCCTACAGAGTGTAATATTTTAAAAAGTTTGAGAAATACTGGTTTAAAGATATAAAATTCCCACCCCACTTTGCTCAAGGCCATAAAGGACTAGCAGTCCTCGTTATGGAGAGAGGAATTAGTGGGCACCATTTCCTGAGGGTCTGAAACAATAGTAAAAAAAAAGCTCCAGCATCTTGAGTTAACACTTGGAATACCTTACTCCACAAAAACAATACTGCAAAGGGTAGATAATACTCTAATACTTGAGATTCAACTATGTTGTGGGCTAAAAACAGCCCTACTATTGAAAAGTAATTAACTTTGGTAAGATTATTTAAAAATCAATTATATAAACATAAATAAATTACCAAAACCCATCACTTTAGTTTACGGAAACATAGAAACCAACAGGGAAGGGAAATAATCGGACTCAGCCATATAAATAGTAAAAGCAATGCTGACTAATGACTTATCTGCGTGCTGCAAAGACTATTGAAGCCCCTTCTGCATTATGCCAACAGAGTACTTTCCTGTGGTTAATGGGAGACTACTCTTCTCTAGAATTTTCATCTATGGCCTATTCCTGTAGAGTACACACTATGTACCAGGCTTCTGAATCACTTTTTAAGGTAGTAGGTTTACTGAAAATACAATTTGCATTCTTCTGTACCAGTTTACTGTACCTGGCAATAGGGCAGGGTTGAGAGAAAAGCCAAACCACATTACTTTTTATTCTATTACATTTTTTTTTCTACACTACTAAAAAAAGGAGATTAGGATTGTGAAATTCATGTTTTCACACACTTGTTTCCTAACATTTAGGTGTGTCTACTTGAGTATTAAGTTACACTACTAGCTTTCTTTTAACATCAAAATGAAGGATGTCAAACTATCTGAAAATAATGCTTTAGATTCCCTCATGGCAATCAGATAAGCATGCTAAATTCCTGAATATAGAAAATTACTGTCTGTAGGGTACAAATAAAGAAATATTAACCATAAATTAGTTCATTCTATTTTCTGACAGTTGACATACAATAAAATCTCTTTCTCAAATATCTTCTACATATACAGCAAGAAATATTTCCTACTCTATAATTTTATACAAAATAATATGATGTATTTCTTGGTGGAGGGTAGGATCAGGAAGTACTTAGAAATGAACACTACCTATGAGAAGTAGGCAAATGTGCCAGCTAAAGAATGTTTATATCTGGTGTGCCACCATTATGAGGGCTCACTGAAAGCTAAGCTTGAATTTAAATAAGATGTAACAACAATAAAACCTATCTAAAGGACAAAATTAGTTCTTTTCAGTGTAAGTAATGTGCATGTGGTCTAACTATCATAATATAGAAACAGTTTAAACAAAGCCCATAATAAATATAAGTATATAACTATTCAAAAAAATCATTAAGAAATAAACTCAAAAGAAATCCTTTCTATACTTAATTTGAGAAGAAAAACTATAACAAAGATTTTAAAAATGCATTTGATTAAAATAAAATTTTAAAGTCATCATAGAAGTACTAAACCCAAAAACACTAAAAAACAACAACAAAACACTGGGTGAATTCAACTAAGTAAAAACTTTGATTATTTCAATATTCCAAATATATCTGTTCTGATTACAAACAGAAAAAGGGTCTTTCTATACATCTTTTATGGTCAATTAAATTTAATAAAATGCTGGTGTTTTTTGAAAGTCTTAAGAAATCAAAAAAGGAGTTAAAATTTAGTGGCCTTTTAAAATGAAGCAAATTTTTCCCCCCTCTCTGTTCTGCCTAAAGGCAAACATTCAACTCTGCCAAACAGAAATAAACGTTAAAATTGAGCTGAATGGTTATGTTCTAAAATGTTAACTGCCACAAGTGGAGGTCATTTTCAAATAATATACTCATTTTAAAACAGCCACTGCAAAGGATCTTAAGATTAAAAACTTTGGAGTTCACTGACCTGTTAGAAGTAACCCAGGACGTAGAACCTGTCAGTAATTACTGTGTGTGTGTGTGTGTGTGTGTGTGTAATTATTATTACCAAAACCATTGTTTTTATTGTGTTTAGTGAAAGATATAGGAAATCTACACAAAATCTGGGCTTTTTAAATTTTACTTTCTGGACTACTACTTAGATTATATATGAGTAAAAATCTCAAAATTTCTCCTATAGAAAAATAGACAACCTATACACATATACCTACTATATAGGAAAGGACAACTTACACAAAGACAACAAAGTAACATATACTCCCAAAAGGTGTTATGGAAGTGATCTTTTGTTACCTGAGCAACATCCTCAAGTTTATTCCACTTGATCGACAGTAATAGCTTTGGCAGTGACTGTGGGAAGTTCTCTCTGCAGTCTTGTCGTAAAGTCCAAATAAGATCCATTTCATTCTCACACAGTTGAGACAAGGGATCCCTGTCCAAGATTTCCTTCAGTACAGCAAGAAACTTTTTTCCTCCCCGACTCTAAGAAGGTAAAATTACTCATTATAGAATCGAATTGTGCAAACATCCCTGGCAAGCACTTAGCAAATTTTATTCAAGGAATTTATAAACAACTTATCAGCTTTAACATGTGAGATGCCTAAAATAGAATTACTCAAAAAGATAAATAAAGATGAATTTTCCTTTTAAGATTTTTATTGTCAAATATAACATCTGTAAGCAAAGAATAAAGGAATGAATTATTCTCAAGCAGTTTTGAAAAAAGAAAAATATTGCTTCCTAAAAATCCATATGCAAACACTAGGTGGCAGTATTGCAATCTGGATTAAAAATAAGTTATTATTTGAACTAAGTTTCTTCTTTAATTTTCAGTTCCTATAAACACACACACACACACACACAAAAAACAAAACAAAACAAAAAAAAAAACAACAACAACAAAAAAAAAACCCCAAAGAGATAAACCAAACATATTAAGTTTCAAATATATTTCATTGATTTTTTTTTACAGAGAGGAAGGGAGAGGGGATAGAGAACTATAAAAGAAACATCAATGAGAAAGATCAATCAGCTGCCTCCTGCACACCCCCTACTGGGGATGTGCCCGCAACCAAGATACATGCCCTTGACCGGAATCGAACTGGGGACCTTTCAGTCCACAGGCTGACGCTCTATCCACTGAGCCAAACCAGTTTCAGCCAAACATATTAAGTTTTAAAAGAAAAGTAGCTCTGGCCAGGTAGCTCAGTTGATTAGAGCTGCATGCCCATATGCAAAGGCTGCAATTCGATCCCTGATCGAGGAACATACAAGAAGCAACCAATGGCCCTCACAGATGTGGCTCAGTTTGCTGAGTATCATCCTGTGCACCAAGAGGTAACTGGTTCAATTCCCGGTCAGGGCACATGCCTGCATGCAGGCTCGGTCCCCAGTGGGTGCCATGTAGGAGACAGCCAATCAATGATTCTCTCTCATCATTGATACTTCTCTCTTCCCTTCTCCCTCTCACTTCCTCTCTGAAATCAATAAAAAAAAATTTGTTTTAAGTCACAGGAGAGCTTGAATGGGCTGCCACTGGCCAAGTCTGAGTCATTTTTGAAGATTAAAATAAATGACAGTGATTAATTATAAATCACTAAATAAAATGGAAATCATGAGTCTGTATTACTATACCCCCCCCCCAAAAAAAAAGTGAGCAAAAAATGGAGAAGAAAACCTCTTTTATGGTATAAGCCAACTAATAAATGCAACAGAAAAAATAAATTTTAAATTCAGCACTTGGCAAACCACTGTAATAATATTGATTCAAGCAAGGTATGTTAATATTAAAACAACTGGATAAAAATGTGAATCAGGATGTCTACTTGGAGTCGAAATACGCCCCCATAAAATATTTACTAACTTTATAGAGAAAAACCTAGTAGATCAAATGATAACAATTAGTACCATGATAAAATTCAGTATAAAAGAACACTCCAGCCAAGACCAGTTTGGATCAATGGATAGAGCGTCAGCTTGGGGACTGAAGGGTCCCGGGTTCGATTTCAGTCAAGGGCATGTACCTTGGTTGCGGGCATATCCCCAGTAGGGGGTGTGCAGGAGGCAGATGATCGATGACTCTCTGTCATCGATGTTTCTAACTCTCTCTCTCTCCTTTCCTCTCTGTACAAAAATCAATAAAATATATTTAAAAAAAAAAAAAAAAAAGAACACCATTACTTCCATAGTATTCCTGTTAAAAATGCATAGCTGGTTTCTATCCATTTGATCATGGATAAAACATAGGCAATCCAAAGTAAGTGACATTCTACAAAGTAACTGGCTTGTATTCTTTAAAAAGTCAGTTATTAAAATAAGGAAAGACTGAGCAACTGCTTTAGAATGAAGGAAACGAAAGACACACAACAATGAAATACAACAACTAATCCTGAGTTGGATCCTGTGCCCAATAAAGGACATTATTGAGACAACTGGCTGAATTTGAATGGAATGTGTAGTTTAGACAACAGAACTACAAGTGTTGCTCAGTGTGTTGAATGAACACTGTTCCATGCACCAAAGGGCTGCCAGTACGACTGCTGATCAGGGCACGTACCCAGGTTTTGGGTTCGTCCTGGGTCAGGGTGCATATGGAAGGCAACCAATTAATGTTTCTCTCTCACACTGATGTTTTTGCTCTCTTCCCCTTTCTCTAAAATCAATAAAAGCACATTTAAAAAGGAAAAGAAAATTACAGCCTCCTCATTCAACTGAATAGTATTCAGAGCATTATTAATCTATGAGATGTTACAGCATCCCTAACAAACTAGCTGGGCTTGTGTTTATTGCAGAAAAGGGCTTAGCATGTGGAACACGGACCACCTACAGACAGTGCCATTTAACAAAACATTACAATGTACATATGCATGAGTACAGTCTTCTGTAAGTTCATTGCCATAAGTGAGATGAAGGTAGCTAATAATAAGCACAACTTTATAATAAGAGTGATTTAAAAACCTTGATACTTACTGATACATTAGCACTATCGCTGCTTGCAATCTCAGCTGCCTTTTCGATAATCTGTTTAAAAAGTTTAAAAAAAATCAATTTTGGCTTTTGTATTTGTAAAATTTTAAATATAAAAGACTACACTTGTATATACAGTCTGGCATTTCAATGCTTTATAATGTAAACATGAATTTGAAGTGCAAAATGGTATTGTGCAGAGATTCACAATCTTTAAACTCCAGAAAACTAGGAACCAATGACATAACTATAAGGGACTATGACTCCTGGGATGCACTAGGATTGTCTGTAAAGTGAGCAGTGGCTTGCATATAGAGATGGGGAAAATTTTTTTTTAAATAGGTAAATGTCTTCTGATTAAGAAAATAAAAAGTTATGTGAGAGTTACTAATGATAAACTTTTGTCATTTGTCATCACTTTTTTTTCTGAATTAACAGATATCAAAAAACCTAAAAATATTTTTTAAATCATTAAGTTCAAAAGGGCTCTAATTATTAAAAAGCTGGGACCCCATGAATTCAGAAAGAAGATCAGTGGTAAAGAATCTGAGAATCTATATCTGAGTTAGGTAACAAGCTAATAATTTCTCTGTATCCTCATCTGTAAAATGTAAGGATAATTCCCATTCTATTTCATAGGGTTTTTATAATAGTAAAATGAGATTATAGTTATTAAAACTAAGCAATAAAAATAAAGTTGATTTGAAATGCGTGAGATTACAGCAAAAAAAAAACACATGAAAAAGAATATGGGGAACTTTCACTTTTTATATCTGTATTATTTGACTTAGTGTTTATAAAAACACCAAAAAGTTGTACTATTAAAGAAAACCCAGTAGTATAAATGTGTTTAGACATAAAGACTAAAATCTTCATCCCAAGTTGATCTTCAAAGACAAAGGAAAGTTTAGTGACCGAATGAAGAGGACTTATGCAACGTTGATGTAACATATTTTTAAAAAATTAAACTCCTCTTGAAGTATTATATTAAAAACATATTTGCACAGAATGTTATATTTGTAAAAATGATTTGAAATGCGATTTCATCCAATTTCAAAAAAATTATACCTGATTGTCAAATATACCATAATTAAACACAAAAATAGGCATAGCTAGGCCTATTTTATTACTATGCTAAGGAATAAAGCCATGGCATAAATGTACCTTTTTTACTCAATGTACACTAAAATAGAGGATTCTTGACATATTTAGGATTTCTATTGTAAGAATCACAAAGTATTATTGATCAGAAAAACATTTTATAAGAATCTGAAATGAAAAGCTATTTCTTAGGTGGATAAAATTCAATTAAAATATAAGTAAAGGAAAAAAACTCTAAATTATATATATTTAATTTACATACTTTTAAAACCTACTCTCTACAGGTCTGGTAGTGTTAAACATTAAAACACAATTAAGTTTATAGGTGGAATAATTTAAATACTACTTAGTATAACATCAACTTTTAAAGATAGCCATTCACAAATGGATTAAGGAAATAAAAGGAAGATTATTATTTGAGAATTTGTTCAAAGATTTCATCGTAAATATCAGCAATCATCCCTGAAACAAAATAAACCTGAAGATAAAACATATGCAGCTTACTTAACTCTTTTAGCATGTAAATTAGGCATACTATGATACTTTCCTTATCCCTAAGACATGCCAATTCACACTAAGAAAATGTGTTTAGAAATGGAAATCCTTGCTAGAGATTCTACAAAAATAATAGTACCTTAGGAAGTCCTACTACAAGTAATATTCTACATAAATCATCTTTTCTTGAATACCAACTCTAACACAGCAGTTATTATGTCTTTAATCTCTGAACCAACATGCTGGCATATTTCACTTGTTCAGAATTATATCTAACTGCATTTATTGCCCTTGTAAACTGAAAAACAAACAAACCAAAATCCCTGTGAACAATTATGATTTCCTCATTTTATAAATGAGGAACCAGAACTCTAAAGATAACATATCTCACTGGGTCAGTGACAAAGTCAGGACTAAACAGAGTTGACTCCAGTGATCTTTCCACTGAACAAGCTGGCAATTCATGCAATGTTTTGAAACAGAAATAGAAATAGACAAATAGAGCTTCAACTAAACACCTTCAGAACCAGGAACTAATAATTCAATTACTTCACACATCGTGGCCCTTTAAATAATGATCTTACCTTATCAAAGGGAGGGTAATAATAAGGTTGTTTTTTATTCTCTGGGAATCTGATATGCAAAGCTGTTGCATTCTCAGTATATGGATTTGTTTGAACAGTTCCCATTGGATTCAACATTTCTTCAAGTTCATCTAAAACATGTAAATAATTTTGATTCTTAAAATATATTTTTGAAAAAGAAATAGAACTTTAACAGATTTAAACCATGAAAATGATTTTAAAAGTGTGTCACCTAAGGAAGTATGGCAGACAATTTTATCAGTAAACCTCTAATTTTCTGTTAATGCTTGGCACAAAATTTGAATGTGAGTTTATATACATTTTTAAAATGAGAAAATTAATAAAAAATTAATAGCTATATCGCATCATTCTTCAATTTGGTAAGTAGTCTCAATTTTGGGGGGAAAATTTTAATTGAAAATGTTCTTCCTCCATCAAAATTAAGGGCCCAGCACTCTGGCTGGTGTGGTTCAGTTGGCTGTTTTTCCATGTACCGAAAGGTTGCCAGTTCAATTCCCTGTCAGGGCACATGCCCAGATTATGGTCGGGGTGCACATAGGAGGCAACCACTCAGTGTCCCTCTCCTTCCTTCCTTCCCTCTCTTCTTCCCTCCCTGCTTCTTCCTCTCCTGGCCTCCTACCTCTTCCTCCCTCTCCCTCTCTCTTCCTCTCTAAACTCAATAAAAAACATTTTTAAAAAATTAAGGGCCCATAGGACTCATTTCATCAGTATAGATAGACTTCTTAATCACATGTAATCTGATTTCCATGGTCATCACAGTACCATGAAAACTGGTATTTTCAGTCATCAATGACATTCTTTTTGACAAACTTAATGTTCCTTATTATCCTGTAACTGCTAATACAGTTAAACAACTTCTCTGGCAGTTCCTACAACTCCATTCAAGTGGTATTCCTTTAACTTCACCAACTGCTTCTTTCTTCAAGGCACTGCTTCCTCTTCTCTACCACTCTAAACACAGTTCTGTGCACAATTCTATGCACAGGAATCTTAGAATTTCAGTGTTTTTTCATAAAACCCTGGAGTTCATTAACTTTCTCATTTCAAGCTAAGTAAAATGTTGGAGACATGAAATTTAAGATGAGAGGACAGAGCTAGCTCCCCCTCTCTAAACTAATTTCTCTTTTCTTATACTAATTTTTAAAAGTTACCCTTATACTTCCTGAGAAAAATCTGTCTAGGCCTAATGTCCAGATAGTATGTATAATCAGAATTATCTCCCAAAACTAGAAAATCTTTTTAATTCCATCTTTACTGGACTGAAGCAAATCTCATAATTCATATACCTCTAAAACTACCTTCTTGGCAAATTATGATCTTATATTTGCTAACTAGTGGCATTATACCTATTTGTCCTACCAAATGCAACCTATCTAAAGTCAAATGTAGCATTTTTAGTATTCTTATCAGCCCCAAACTTATGAGAGGCAACCTTGCTTAAAAGTGATCACAAGAAAAAGCAAATGGAGAGAACAAATTGGTATGATCTCTAAGAGAACAATTTGAGATTATGAATATTACAAATGTGTTTGTTCTTTGACTCAATAAATCCAACTTTGAGAATTTACTTTAGATATATACCTGCACATAAGCAAGGTTACTCATTATAACTGTTAAAACTATCACAACATAACTCTGCTTTTAAAAGAGAAAAGGTCAAAAGGCCAAAGAGCAGAACACTACACAGAATATGCTATTTTATGGAAGAATGGGGGGCGGGGGGGAGAATAAAAATCTACTTTTATATTGCCTAGTACATACATGAAAAATTCTGGAAAGACACAAAAGCAAACAATAAATGTAATGATATGCCTTTTAATGATGACCTAGGAACTCAAGGTAACAGATTTACAGTTCATTTCTGACTTGCTCCTTCTACTGGGCTAAATGTGACAATTATAGAGCTGATACAGGCAGAGCAAAGGTGTTCACTTATTATTGTTCACCTTACATTTTTTTAGATGATAAAGTTAAGTTCATGGTATACCTAGTCCATACCACTAAAATATTTTCTAAAAATACCAGTCACATTGCTTGATGATTCTGGAGAACATGTGTGAATCTAAATTAAGATTAAAAAATATATATATATTTCTGAAATGCATAATTTTTACCCTAAAGGTGAAATCATAGTTCCTCTTAAGAAATGTGTAAATGCACATTGCTTTCCTATAATTGGGGATTAATATGATTAGTGAAAATTATTGAAGGTATATTCAGGAAAGAATAGGAACACAATATGCACACATAAAATATTAGAATGTAAGACAAGTATATACATTCATAAATAACTAATTGTAATTTATGTACAAAACAAGTATGTGTGTGGGTGTGTCAAAAAAAAACTTCTATGCTAGCAACTACTAATATATGAACATTTTTCAAATGTTTGTCACCCACAAAGTAATTTTACAATGCTAGTTCAAAATTTTATTAAACATCTATGAAGACAGAAAAAAAAACAAAAACCACTTATATAATGCAAGTTACACACTAAAAATGTCCAACATTTGGGTAAGTATAGAGTAATGAGAAGAGCCAAGCAGTCTTTTGTACAAATCCTAGGTTTGAACCAATTATGTAAGATTGACAGAGGTTCACTTTTCTCATTTGTAAAATGGAGATAAAACCATTGACCTGATAGGAGTACTCTGAGCTGTATGTGAAAAATATAGGCATGTAGAAGGTGCTCTTCTTAGCTCAAATTTCAGGCTAAAGCCAACTAATAAATAAGTGTTTTTATTATTCTTTCCATATTAGTGAATGTTCCTTCTACTACTATAGAAATTAGTACAAGTTGCAATAAAGAAAAGACAATGTTATAAAAAAGACATTCCTTTGGAGAACTTCTCAAAAAACTTAAAAATATAACATGCTTACAGCATGAACACATTCATTAAAAACAATATATGCAGACACAAATAACTTTTTGAGTATATTAAAATAACCTATGGAGCCGAAACCAGTTTGGCTCAATGGTAGAGCGTCGGTCTGCGGACTGAAAGGTCCCAGGTTTGATTCTGGTCAAGGGCATGTACATTGGTTGCGGGCACATCCCCAGTTGGGGGTGTGCAGGAGGCAGCTGGTTGATGTTTCTCTCTCATTGACGTTTCTAGCTCTCTATCTCTCTCCCTTCCTCTCTGTAAAAAATCAATAAAATATATTTTTTTTTAAATAAAATAACCTATGGAAATTTGTTTTAAAATAAATAAAGATATGAAATGATGGTTTTACTAAACTGAAAGAATTATGAGTCAGAAAGAAACATTAACTAGTCCACATGCCCAAAGTTATTCTTTAACACTAAGAATTAGAAAGTAAATCTTACCAGGAAATGAAGACCAGCTGTGCAATATTATGTCTCCAGATCTCAACTGCCCTTTAAAGTCAAAAACCATCGTATTTACCCATGCTACAGGATAATGCTGTTGAAAAAGATAGAATTGCATCAATATGTTAAGAATGAATTTTAAGGTGTAAACATGTACGTGTCTTTGTTCCAATAATCTTAGTTCTAGAAATGTCTAAAGTTCTAAATTATCCCCCACCAAAACAAATAAAATCCCCCAAGATATATATTATAAAATGTTCAATGTCTTTACAATGGTTGAAAAAAAACACCTAAAAACCAATGAAAGTTTCACAAAATAGTATGTCTAAAAAATGAAATTTTGTTGTACATCCACTGAAAATGAGGAGAAGCTTTTAATGATTAAAGAAAATATATCTAATATGTTGTCTGTCAGGTTATATGTTTTAAGACTAATAAGTCAGTGTATCAAAAAACCTTATTAACCCTCAAATGCTTTGAGTAAAAAAATTCAGTATTAACTGGGGGGGGAGGGGAGGAGAGGAGAAGAAAGACTAAGAAAGTAACTCTTCTGTGACTTCTTTGTGAAAATTTTATTTTGAAAAAATCATAATAACCAGCCTAGCCGGTGTGCCTCAGCAGTTGACCACCAACCTATCAACCAGAAGGTTTGATTCCTGGTTAGGCTCCATCCCCAGTAGGGGGTGTGCAGGAGGGTGCCGATCAATGATTCTCTCTCATCACTGAGGTTTCCCACTATCTCTCCCTCTCCTTTCCTCTCTGAAATCAATAAAAACATATAGTTCTTAAAAATCATAATAATCAGAGAAAATATTTATATTCTGATGTTAAGAATCCTATATAAAAGTCTAATATGTAAATCAACTGAATGGTGGAACAACCGGTCACTATGACAAGCACTGACCATCAGGGGGCAGATGCTCAATGTAAGAGCTGCCCCCTGGTGGTCAGTGCACTCCCACAGGGCAAGCGCTGCTCAGCCAGAAGCTGGGCTCATGGCTGGCGAGCCCAGCAGTGGTGGCGGGAGCCTTTCCCGCCTCTGTGGCAGTGCTAAGGATGTCTGACTGACGACTTAGGCCTGCCTAAGCCGTCAGTCGGACATCCCCTGAGTGCACAAATTGTGTGCAACAGGCTCTTAGAAGTATATAAATCCGTATAGATAAATGTAATAATTAAGACTTTCTTTTTTAAGGTATAAAATTATCTCAAAAAACTCACAACTTTTTATAAAGAAGAGAAATGATTTGGCTCAGTGGATAGTGTCAGCCTGCGGACTGAAGCGTCTCAGGTTCAATTCTGGCTAAGGGCATATGCCTGGCTTGTGGGCTTGATCCCCAGTAAAGGGTGTGCAGGAGGCAGCCACTCAATGATCCTCTCTCATCATTGATGTTTCTATCTCTTTCCCTCTGCCTTCCTCTCTCTGAAAAAAAAAAAGAAAGAAAAAAATCTTGACTAAAAATATTAAATGGAAGAGAATATGGGAAAAAATGCACCATCCTTTATTCACAATTTCAAAATTGAAAGTGAAAACTAAAGGTCTGTTCATAACTCATTTGATAGTTTTAAAAAATAACATGAAATTAATATTTGCCTCATTTAACATGACTATTCATATACTTTCCTTCTAAATACTGATGTGTTTACAGATTTGAGCCCCAGACCCCCAAGGTGTGTTGAATGCAATATGACAATCTATGATCTTCCTAAAACGCACAAAATTCTTAATCCTCAAACATGTGGCACCTGAAATTTCAGTTAAGAGATTATGGACTTGTGATTTTTAAAATGTCTTTATTCTTTTTCATCAGTATCTCCTAAACAGTATAACATTTATAATAGAGCACTTATAGCATGATACTTACTAAAATAAACTGGCCAAAAGAGAAATGAAGGAGGACATAAAAAAAAGGAGATTTATTATCTTTTTGAAATCAGTTCTTAGGGACCAAAGTTATATTAAATATTAATTTCACTTATATTACTCAATTATGTCAAAGGATCTTAAAATTATTTCATTATTTCATTAAGTTACTTAATTATTAAAAAATTTCAGAAGTTAGTATATAATTACCACTTTCCCAGATTTCCTGATGGTCTGATATTTAGAGGCATTAATTGTTTTAGTAGATTTCTTTGTTTTCACTTTATCCAAAACTGCATAAACAGCAAAACATAATCTAGCCATTCGTGGCAGGTCACAAGTATTAATATCAAACTCCAGGGGTTCATTCCAAACATGATCATTTTTCCCTGATATCTCTGAGCTTACGATGGTTTTACACAGGAGTTCAGTACCATGAAAAAGACCAGCCCTGACATGAACCTGTAATGAGGGAGACAAAAACAAATCCAGATTCATGAATACTGTACCACTGCTGTACCTCTAAACTTGGAGAATAAACAAACATATACAGGGAGAAGCAAGTTGGTGATCTAAATTTAAGATCTTATAACACAGATATAATAGCAAATGTCCACAATCAACCTAAAACTCATTCTATTTAATAAAGATACGAATAAAAATGAAAATGATATTTTTGGTATTACTGTTAAAAACCACAATTCACGTTTTACTCCCTATTTATTTAAATAGTTTCTAGATTGAGTAGCCATAGCTTTAAGCAACCTTTGTTCAAGTCCATGTCTCTAAAATGTTGTAAATGATATTTCCCCAAAATTTAGATTAAAAGCTTGGAGATTTTCATATTTAGTTTATAAAGGATATGGTAAGAAAAATTAAAAAGATTTTATACAACAGTACTTTAAAGAAATCTCTGTATCTACCTTTATGCTATACTCAAAGTATCTAAACTATGAGAAACAGATATTATATTTTTAATAGCCAAGACAGAAGAGGAATAAGAAAGCATATTGATACACAATTTCTCATTTTCATAATTACTTTATTCTCTAAAGAAAACTTTAATTGCTTATAAGAATCATTTAACAGTTCTTTTCTAAGCAATGACCCCATCATGAAATGCACAATAAATGGCATTTGGTATCAGTAAAATCATATGGAAGGTAGGAAGAAAAAACACAAAACCTAAATTTTTAAGTTTTATTTTCTTTTCTAACATACCTCAGGAAGATTGAGCATCAGTTAAAGAACACACAATGGATAGAAGTTTGAATTCATCAGGAGGTTAGGAAAAGGTTCCAGCACTTTTGTACCAAACGTTCTTAAAAGGAATTCAATGGGTAAAGAAAACAATGACAAACTCCCCTGGCATGCCTTAAGAACCCAAAACAGCCCCATACAGCTTGAGTCTCAAAGTGCTTGGGCATCTTGAAAAATGTACAGCTAACATTATACTTAAAGTTGTAAGACTGAATACTTTCCTTTAAGAATACTAAGCTTTGGAATGTCCAAATGTTCTGGGTGTTCCTTTGGGGATTTTAGATGAGATAAACATTCAAATGGTAGGCTGACTAAAACAGATCGCCCCTCCTAACGTGGGTGACCCTAATCCAATTTGTTGAAGAATAAAATAGGGGAAAAAAGAAAAAAGCTGACCCTCGGAACAATAAGAGAATTCTTCTTGCTTGAGTGATTTATCAGCTTTTCTCCTGTAGTCAGAACTGAAATTGCAGCTCTTCCTGGTCTTGAGCCTGCAGCCTTCAACAGGAACTACTCAAAACAATCACCTGGTTCTCAAACCTTCAGACTCACACTAGAATTAAACTCTGAGCTCTGAATCTCCAGTTTGCCTCTATCCTTACAGATCACAGGACTTAATCAACTTCATAATCATGTGAGCTAATTCCTTAAATAAATGTGTGTCTGCATGTGCATGTCTGCCTGCCCCCGGCCCCTGCCCCCTTGACCCACCACATATTCTACTGGTTTTGTTTCTCTGAAGAATCCTGACAGATACATCCACTCTCTTTATTTCTATTTATCATCATATATTGAAGGTCCTAGCCAGAAAGTTTGAAAAGAAGTGAAGAGGCATACCCCCTTCTTTTTTTTCCTTCAGATTTCTTTTCAACATTGTACTGGGGCTCCTAACATGTGTAGCAATTAAACAGAATGGTAGGCATCTATAAAAATAAATCATGTCATAATTGCATTAACTTACTTACATTCAACAATATAACCCCAATGGAAAAAATAAAGGGGGCTGGCTAGAAGAGACTCACAAACTAGATGAAGTGGACTAGGAGACATTTTATGTGTCATTAAGACTATTACTCCTTAGAGCATGACCAAAAACAACAGACTTAATTCAGTTTGAAATATCTGTTGGAAGTTGGCAAAAACCTATGGAAATAAAATGTCACTGACAAAGACATATAAAATAAAGCAGGAAGTGAAGGCTTCTTTGGTCTTCTGCAGAAGAAATAAAATAGAAGACTGTAGGAAATTTAATAACTACACAATAATTAAATAACATAAATTACCTACCGAAGACAAATACAATAAACTACAAATGGGGAGAACAAGAATTCCCATTTTTACAATGTAAATTACATATCCTTACATACAAATCAAGGAAAAAAAACTATAACAAACATATATAATACTCAATATGACTTGAGGATAGAATTGCCTATATGTGATTTCTGCCATTAGAAATATAATACCCAAGGAACTATTTATGACAGTCTAAGATGAATTATAAAGTAAATAAATCAGGTTGTAGAATAATGCATACAGTATCATCCCTTTTTAACAAACCAACCAATCAGCAAACACAATCAAAACCTATTCAATCCTCAAACTATATGTATATATTGTATTTATATAATTATGGAAATCACTCACAATATTGGTTATATATGATGATAGAGGCAAGTAGGAGAAATCAGTAACTTTTTTCTGTAATCATGTTTGGATTTTTTTTAACCTGTTGCAATAATGTTATACTTTTACAATTAGAAAATAATAAGAAAATTTAAAAAAAATTAAATTAAAGGAAAAAATAAAATTACCACTAAAATAAAAAACAAAGGCTAATTGGCATACACACATTCATTAAAAATTCAAATCTAGCTAAAAATCTAAGAGAAAAAAAAACACACAACCTTATTTTAATAACAGCTACCCAAATAATCTTTAATGTCCATTTACAAAAGCAAGCTATAGGTAATCTTTGGAGAAAACATAAAATGTCTCCTAGTCCACTTCATCTAGTTTGCGAGTCTCCTCTTGCCAGCTTCCTGAATATATTGTCATGCCAGCAAACATCTCAAACTAACTGAATCTCTTTCTTGGATCACAAAACTGTTCACTTAATTTTCTGCCAAACAAAATAGGAGAAAATGCATGCTTTTACTTTGAGACAAAATGCCTTGTTAAGTCTTCACTTAATTGTATGGGGCTGTGCAATAAATCTCCATGTGTTAACAACTTGTGGTCTATAATGTAGTCATCTATTTTCTTGCAGGAAATTGTATTACATTTTTTGTGCTTAGCAAATTTAAAAGAAAAAAGGGGGGCTGGGTGCAGCTCTAAGCAAGGCCAAGAAAGAAGATTAAGTTCGCATACAAACACATAATCTATAGTTTCAACTTAAATTTCACTTGCTATATCCCTGTTCTAGAGCAATTTCTTTTATATAATATATTGGAAAATGTCTATCTATTATATCTCCAACCAAGTATTTAAATAGTTTAATACAAAAAACCATTTTTAATAACAAAAATTCTTGTCTTATAATTAACTGCCATATTCTACCCTCATATAATTGACCAATGCTAGTAAAATTTAATTTCCAATGTGACATTTACTGAGCATATCAGTGAGTTATTTAAATAATGGAGCAGGTGACAAATTCAAATCTTAGCAAGTACTCACTTTTACACTTTCTTCTGTGTTAAGTTTATTTCCCTTAACCAAGACAATTTGGAAAGGGTTGTTATTTTCCCAAACATGCTGTAAAAGAATGAAATAAGAACAAGATATTTTAATTAAAGACATGAGTATGTTTTGCCAACAATAAAATCATTTCATCAATTCTCATGTCCACTGGCAAAATAATGAAAACAGACCTCTAAACTAACAACTGAAAGTCACATATGTTAAATTAAGCATCATAACCTTTAGCACTTAATTCTCACAGTAAAACACAAGCAGCATTCCAATATTGCTAAGAGATTCACAAAGCTAAATATCATAATCAAATAGTATTAAAAGCTTTGAATAAATTAAGAATTTACATCTAAATTAATATATAGATAATATCTTACTCATATAATTTGTTAAGACTGAATAACTATTTAAAAGTGTTAACTGGCCGAAACCGGTTTGGCTCAGTGGTAGAGCATCGGTCTGCGGACTGAAAGGTCCCAGGTTCGATTCCAGTCAAGGGCATGTACATTGGTTGTGGGCACATCTCTCGTAGGGGGTGTGCAAGAGGCAGCTGGTCGATGTTTCTCTCTCACTGATGTTTCTAGCTCTCTATCCCTCTCTCCTCCTCTCTGTAAAAAATCAATAAAAAAAAAATTAAAAATGTTAACTGTTCCCATGAACACAAACATTTCTTCTTTTGATACAATTAAAGTCTAAAAGTATTCAATAAGAAAGGCAAATTACACTGAGTGGCCAGATTATTATGATCTCTGAACACATAATAATTTGGCCACTCAGTGTATATACTATATAATAAAAGGCTAATTTGCAAATTGTCCCCTTGACCAGGAGTTCAACCAGCAGGCAGGCCGGTCAATCGCCCATGTCTCCCTCCCTAGCCAGACTAGCTAGACCCCACCATTGCAAATTCATGCACCAGGCTTCTATACACACACACACACACACACACACACACACACACACACACAGAGTGGCCAGATTATTATGTGTTCAGAGATCATAATAATCTGGCCATTCAGTGTATATATACCACAACATTATCATAGCTAAGCTGATAGAAATAAAATATAATAGTAAATCAACTATTTCTGCACATCTAACTTTTCTACCACAATGTCTCAAATTACTCAAGTCCTATGTTCAGCTCTAATCTAAAAAATATCTCTAATTTATTGGCATTTTTATTTGGAATCAAAAGAACAAAAATATAAATGTCATATTTACATTTATATGTAGTAGGTAAAGAAAAATAATAGTAACTAAACATAATTATTATAAATGGAAAGGGATTTGTATGCATTGGTTTTCACAGAAGGAGAAGTGAAAAAAAAAAGTGTATGTGTGTGAGAGAGACTTACATGTACAACTTAACAAAATCATATGCCTTCTGGGGTTGGCAAAAGTTCATAAAACTTACAGAAATAATTCGTTTCTTTGGTGGTAAAGGAAGAGGAAGGTTAGATGAATTTCGATTTATGGCAGCCTCTATGGCAATCATTTCCTGTTCATACATCTTTTTGATCTTGCAACATTCCACAAGTATAAAATGAGGCAAGGTCCTGTTCATTACACAGTTCCGGATATACTAACAGTGGCAAGAAACAATAGGTAAGGATATTCAAGCAAATACTTAAATCAATAGAAGAATAAAATTAAGCTGAACAATATTATATTAAAATGACTTTGAAAGTATATCTTAACCAACTTAATGTTAAGAATATGAGAAATAAAGTCACACCATAAAAAAACTACCATTCACTGAATATCCAAGTACATAAGAACTGAGCTAGACAATTCTTATACATTATAGGTAATCTTCATAAAAACTCTATTAGAGCAATTATCCCCCATTTAATATATTAAAGAAAAAAATTCGAAGAGTTAAGTTATACATCTAGTATCTTTAAGACCTGAATTTAAATCCACCTGCTTTTTTTTTTGTTCTGTTTATTGGCTAACCCTTGAAACACATGCCTCAGTCTAGATGTTTTATTTTCTCTTTTCTGCACTTAATACCTGACAGTTTGACAATAGGCATATCTTTCTAGGACAGGACATGAACATCTTAGACGGATGTCACAGTACAAGCTTTCACAAATCAGTAAAGAAAGGTTAGCATGTAGTACTCCTGTGGCCATTTCTTAAGTCATCTCAACTGTCCACTCACACTTTCCTATGGATTCCTGCAGTAAACCTGGTACTTTTTTTAGCACAGGGTTCTAGGCAACCATTATTGTTTTTTGGGGGGATTATTGCTTTATTTCCATGAAACCAGGATGACTCTCCAGAGGCATGAAAAAAGGGAGGCGGTTATTCACATTACCAAAGATTCCTTTAAAAAACAAATAGAAATCCAATGTATTACTCAAAAGAAAAACTTTCTTATCTATAAAAGTATAATATGCTAATTAGCCTGGATAGCTGAATCATCTTCCGGACTTCCTTCCTGACAAAGCTGCAGATGCCGAGGCCGAGGCCGAGGCCGAGGCAGAGGAGGTTAAAAGCAATCAGGCAGGCAGGCAGGCGAGCAGTTAGGGGCAATCAGGCAGGCAGGTGAGTGGTTAGGGGTGATCAGGCAGGCAGGTGAGTGATTAGGGGCAATCAGGTGAGTGGTTAGGGGCGACCAGGCAGGCCAGCAGAGAGGTTGGGGGTATTCAGGTAGGCAGACAAGTGGTTAGGGGCGATCAGGCAGGTAGGCAGGTGAACGGTTAGGAGTCAGCAGTCCCAGATTATAAGAGGCATGTCCTGGACTGTGAGAGAGTACAGGCTGGACTGAGGGGACACCCCCACACCCCTGTGCACAAATTTTGTGTACCGGGCCTCTAGTACAGATATAAAGTGTAATTCCATGTATTGTATCAAATGTAGAACCACTAGAAATATAATTTTGAAATTTAAAAAAAAAAAAAAAAAAAAAAAGACAATTCCAGGATGGCCTATAAGTGGAATTACATGATTTTATGATAAATGTATTCATTCGAAACTTTTCACTGTGAAAGATGTATCATTACATTTCCTTCATATTTCTTTGCTTATACTGTATATTTCTTTCCAATATGACCTTGTACAAAAATGTATACATGGCTTTTTCTTTATAATAACAAATTCTATTTTTTGGCAAAACAATATACCTTCCTCTTATTAAGAAAAAAATGTTAAGTTAAAGAAGCAGGAGGCTGCTTAAAATATGGCAAACCATGAAGGGAAAAAAGCAGTACTTCTATGCCCACCAAGCACTTTACATCTTCCTTCTTCCTCTTAGGAGCCAAAGTTCAAGCACTTAATATCAGAATGCACAGATCCCAAAGCTGTGCACAGAAGTTATCATCACTGTTAGACTTCCTACTTACTAAAGCACAAGAACTGAAGGTTACACCAAAAATCTGAAAACAAAGGTGTAAAATTCCCCATTTCCTTCTAATAAATCACAGGTCTTTATTCTCAAACAAACATCAATTAATATTTGGCATGCCTGTATTCCCCTTTCTTAAAACAAAACAAAAATAAAAGTGATCACATATTACTCTAAAGTTTTGTTATTTATCCTACGTGGCACTCAGCTTATTGTTCGTAATATAATTACTATCATTTTTTAGTCTCCAAATGTAATTTCAAAAAATAATCCCCAAATACCTTGAAGGCACAGCTAGGATCCTATCCTTTAAATAGGATACCATATGGTGGGGGAAGAGGTAGTGCATTGCATATATCTTATTTAAACTCCACTTTACTCCAAAAATAATCTGAGGCACTGGAGTGCCTTTCATAACACATATAAGCAGAGAATTCATGACTAAATGGTAATAAATAACCGAAAAGTAAGAAAGACTTTTGGAGAATGATGAAACTTAATTCCAACACAATTTCTACCATATATGGAAGTAACAAAAAAATGGGTGAGGGGTGAAGGAGGTAATTACACATATAATTTTAGGCTTAAACTGAAAAGTTTTATAATACTTAATGGAAATTTTTAATATTAGTTTACCTAGTTAACAGATAATTGCAAATAAGTTTTTATATAATTCAATTAGTGGCCATTTAATGAAAATATTTTCTTTTGTTCCCCCCAGAATATTTCATATCTAAATCAATGTTTATATGATGAAATAAGAATTCATAACACTATATGAAATTATGACACTGAAACAAACAAAAAAGCAGAATAAAAACATTCTAGATAGCCGAAACCGGTTTGGCTCAGTGGTAGAGCATCGGTCTGCGGACTGAAAGGTCCCAGGTTCGATTCCGGTCAAGGGCATGTACATTAGTTGCGGGCACATCTCCAGTACGGGGTGTGCAAGAGGCAGCTGGTCGATGTTTCTCTCTCATCGACATTCCTGGCTCTCTATCTCTCTCCTTTCCTCTCTGTAAAAATCAATAAAATATATTTAAAAAAAAAAAAGAAAACATTCTAGATAGCCAAAACCGGTTTGGCTCAGTGGATAGAGCGTCGACCTGTGGACTGAAAGGTCCTGGGTTCGATTCCGGTCAAGGGCATGTACCTTGGTCGCGGGCACATCCCCGGTAGGGGGTGTGCAAGAGGCAGCTGATCAATGATTCTCTCTCATCGATGTTTCTAACTCTCTTTCCCTCTCTCTTCCTCTCTGTTAAAAAAAAAAAAAAAATTCTAGATAAACACATACTGCCAAAAATACATGTAACTTTGAGTAAAATGACAAAAACATGCCAAAATGTTAACAATGATCAACTTGGAGGGAGGTAGGATTGTGGCTATTATTTGAGTGTAATTTTTTGTAGGTTCCAAATGCTGACTATAGTTAACACATTTTTATGTCAGAAATTTAAATTGTCAAATTGTTAAATACACACACTTCTCTGGTGAATTGAAAGTTAACTCTCATACCTGGAATTGGATTAGTGAGTGATCACCAAATACATATTCTACTCTCCCACTGATTTGCAGCACATAGTCATAGGGGCTAACTTCATCCTCCTTCCAATGAATAGTCAAACGTTTTTGGATTGCCAATTCATTTATTTTTATAGGATTCATATTAGGAGATACTTGAAAGCTAAACACATCCTAAAGGGAGAGATAGAAAAAAAAAAAAAACACCACAATTAAACATCTGTGTTAAAAACAAAACACTCACCGAAACCGGTTTGGCTCAGTGGTAGAGCGTCTGTCTGCAGACTGAAGAGTCCCAGGTTCGATTCCGGTCAAGGGCATGTACATTGGTTGTGGGCACATCCCCAGTACGGGGTGTGCAGGAGGCAGCTGGTCGATGTTTCTCTCTCATCGTTGTTTCTAACTCTCTATCTCTCTCCCTTCCTCTCTGTAAAAAAATCAATAAAATATATTAAAAAATAATAAAAAAATAAAAAAACACTCTTTACATTTGTACGTATTACTACATTATAAATAGCCATACATAACATTCACATATGTACATCCTTTAGATTTAATATTTCAGTAAATCTTTGTTTTCTAAATATACTGTGTCCTGCCAAATATGCTAAGATTTCTGTTAATTTGCAATTTATCTTATGCTATAGAGAGTGCCATAGTTTCCACAAGTCAAAACTAAAGTTTAATAATATTTAACTAAAATTTATTTTCAGGTAGTTTATCACATGCATTTTCCAGTAAATATCCTTCTTTTAAAAAGTTACCCAAAACCCTGTGTTTTTAGTCTGTATTAATAAAAGTTATATGTAGTCACTAGTAAGAAGAGATTTTTACTTTATACTAATTGAAACATACTTTAAAATTTTTTGTCTGGTTTTATAAACATGTAAAAAGAAACAGAGAAATTTTAACTAGTGAAAAATAGAGATATAGTTGTGATGGAATAATATTAAACCTATGCATAAATTCCAAAGGTAGAGATATTAAAGATAATACCTGACTCCTTCTATAATATAGCAAAATAATTTCAAACCAAATGATAATATATCAAAGATATAAGAAAGCTCACTCTCTCTCACAGCAGCCAACTGCTACCCTGGACAACAATGATTATTAGAACACTAGTGGCCTGGTGCATGGATTCGTACACATTGAAAGGAAATTAGAATATTTTAATACCGTTATTTGCTCTTTCTCTATAATAGAAGTGTCAACCAAATTCATGATTGACAATAACAGAAAGAAAAACATGTGTGCAATTGGCGCCAATGAGAGCTTTATATGTATCGAGCATGGGCGAGTCAACTAGCCTTTTATTTATATAGAATAAACTTGCTTAATTATAATAAATCTGCTTTCTGATTTAGTTCAACTTTTCCCAGCCCAGTGAAGCACCCCAACTTCTCTTTCAGGTAACTGTCAGCAACACAGCTGTAAATATCAACAGAAAGCAGATAGTTATTATAGATCACACAGGGAGAACAAAGGGTAAAATGTTTAACTGCAGCAGTGTTTGAATATATTCTGCACAGTGAGAAAACTTGAAGTCATTTTTCTTTTTTTACAGTGTAAAATTTTTATATTTAGAATTAGGCAGCTGGACTCAGTTTAGATGATTCCAATTTTGTTGGCAACATTCAAAGCATCATAGTCAGGAGCCAGTCGAACATATGCCTTCTTCTCGCCATCAGGCCTGATCAGGGTGTTGACCTTGGCCATATCAATGTCACAGAGCTTCTTCACAGCCTGTTTGATCTGGTGCTTGTTGGCCTTGACATCCACAATGAACACAAGTGTATTATTGTCTTCTATCTTCTTCATGGCTGACTCGGTAGTCAGAGGGAACTTGATGATGGCATAGTGGTCAAGCTTGTTTCTCCTGAGTGCACTCTTCCGAGGATATTTAGGCTGCCTCCGGAGCCTTAGTGTCTTTGGCCGTCGGAAGGTGGGTGACGTGCGGATCTTCTTTTTTGTGTGGCTGTGGACGCCTTTTAACACTGCTTTCTTTGCCTTCGAAGCCTTTGCTTTGGCTTTGGCTTTGGGAGGGGTATGGGCTTCCTTCTTCGCTTTCGGCATCATCTTTGTGAAAAGCTTGAAGTCATTTTCAAGGTCCACCATTTCTTACTTCTTTTCAGTGGGGTCAAGTTTCTAAACTTTCTAAATCTCCATTTTCCAGCTAATGAAAAAAGGATTCTACTGAGTCTTCTATCTACCTAGTCCAGGACTTCTGAAAGGATCAAATGAGATGAGGCATGGGAAAATGCTTCACAAACATTTGGTTAATGTGTAAAATATTTGCAACTGGCTATAAAGCAAGTCATATTTTTGGGTGAATAAACTCCAAAGAGGCTAGTTACTAGGGAGAGGAAGTCGGACATTGCTACCTGATGTCATTATCCGGTGCCCACAGCCACTGATTCCGGGCTGGGCTGGGCTGTGAGCCACATTTTCCCACCATAACAGCGTCAGCTGCGATTTGGTGAGCTGTTGTCCCAGGGTGGTGGCGGGGCCTGTGTCCCACTTGGGGGAAGCTGAGTGTTGCTTTGTTGGCGCCAGATCTATGCTGCGTTTCTCTGTAAATGGCCAGTGCACATTACTGTGTACATCCTTTAGGTGGCTCCTGCATTGTGAGCATCTGTCCCCTGGTAGTCAGTGTGCATCATAGCAACCAGTCGGCCGGCTGGAGGGACACTTTAACGTATTAGCCTTTTATATATATATAGATTATACTGACCTGAAATTGATTTTGCAGTAATTTCCACTAAATTAATTTACATCACCTCCCTTTTCCACAAGGTATCTCAAATTCAAACTTGTAAGACCTAAACCTACTGGGTCTTCCAATCTATTTTCTCCAGTATTTTTACCCTTTCTTCTGTATTTTCTAAGTTGGTGCCTTGTGCATCATAGCACAGGAACTAAGATCCACAGACTCACTTGATAAATCATAGTCTTACACTGCTGTAATTAAATATTTTACCCTTTATTCTCCCTGCAAGATCTACAATAATAATCTGCTTCATGTTGATATTTACTGTGTTGCTGACATTACCTAAAAGAGAAGTTGGGGTGCATCACTGGGCTGGAAAAAGTTGAGCTAAATCAGAAAGCAGGACTAATTAAGGAAGTTTATTCTCTATATATAAAAGGCTAAGTTGACTCATGCATGCACAATACATATAAAGCTTGTGCTGGCGCCAATAGCACGCATGAATTTCAATCTGTCATTGTCAATCATTAATTTGGTTGACCCTTCTATTATAGAGAAAGGGCAAATAGCAATATTAAAATATTTTTTCTAATTAATATTTTTCCTTTCAGTGTGCACGAATTTGTGCACTGGGCCTCTAGTACTTATTAAATACAGACTGATTTAGAAATCCAGGCTAATTCTACTGTTTTTAACTTAAACTCTAATAATCTCTTAACAGTAAAATTCCCTATTCCAGATCTTCCAATAGTGCAGAATTCACTAAACAATATTTTAAATTTGATCTTGACACCTCATAATATCCTAATCTTGGTTCAAATTGAACTTTAATCTCAACACATCTCTGGATAGAGTAGTAAATCGTTTTTGTTTCCTACACAAACTTCCTTTGTAAAATGCCAGAAGGCAGGGTCCTTTTCTCATATTTGTCCTAATAAATACTTATAACATGCTGTTTGAAAGGTGCTCCTTGTTCTACCACTGGCCAGTTATGAAGCCTGGCATAAATAACCAAATTTCTCTTCTTTTCTGTTTCTTCACTATACAATGTGGAGACAATAACTTCACTTTATAGATTGTGAGAACTAGTAAATATATTAAAATTCCTCTCATAGATCGAGGCATAATATTAGTACTCAAAATAGAATGGCTACAGATAATGGTTTTTGTCACTGTTATCATAGTAATTGAATAATAAAACTATTTTAACTTCTACACTAATCCTAAGGCTGACCCTAGATAATAAAACGATAATACAAAGGTAGTAGCATAATTCAGTTTGTAAAACTGCTCAGAACATTCAGGTGCAGATTAACTGTATAAACATACATGGAAATGTCCAACTCCATATCAGTACTTAATTTACATATTAACAAATACAAGAATATTTGGAGGAGATCATTTGGCCAAACCTTTCATTTTATAGAAAAGAAAAAATTCACATGAGAAAAGAAAATATCTGCACTAAAGAACATTTTCTAAATAGGAGTTAGCAAATATTTTCTGTAAAGGACCAGACTCTGAAGACATGTATCTTTGTCACATATTCTCTTTCTTTTCTTTTTAATATCCCTTTAAAATTCTTTACTTTTTTTATAACCCATTGAAAATATAAAAACTATTCAAAAACAGTTTGCTAACATGCCACTGCATCAAAAAATCATATAGGAGCAAAGGATATATCACTTTAGATTATTATAATCCTAAATATAATTCCACACTAAATCTAAAAATACTATTGCCCAGCCAGTGTTGCTCAGGGTTGAGCGTCAACCTATGAATCAGTAGGACACAATTCGATTCCCGGTCAGGGCACATGCCCAGGTTGCAGGCACGATCCCCAGAGTAGGGCATGGAGGAGGCAACCAATCAGTGATTCTCTCTTATCATTGATGTTTCTCTCACTCTTCCTTCCTCTCTGAAATCTATAAAAATCTATAAAAATAAAAATTAAATAAAAATGTTCTGTATAAAAATTTTCTAGGCAAGCAAGAGCCTCCTCTGAGGATGGAGCTGTATTTAGGTAGAAGTCACAGATTTATTACAAATTATTTATTAAAATAATATTACCTGACAATTTTCAAAATGCACAGCCACAATGAGCTTTCCTCCATAAAGTTTATCTTCTAAGTTTTCAAGGATAGATGATTCATGCTCTGGTGGATATGTCTGCTTTAGCCAGTCCATCCAAGACAATCCCACAAGCGACTGGATCTTTTCCTCACTGAATTTACGCATTTTTATTCGGAATTCATTCACTTCAGGATCCTTCAAGGCATCAAATTCATGCAAACCTAAACATATTTTTTAAAGTAGTCATTTTGAGTAGCTAATATTAAAGAAAATATAAAAAATATAAGAGAATATAAAATATATTCAATGAAAACTTATATAATTGACTTTTATAAAGCAAACAAAACTAGGCAGGAAAATATTATACAAAATCAATGAATAGCCAGATAAAATACTAAAAGTAGCCCAGCTTGTGTGGCTCACTGGTTGAACTACTCTATAAATGATAATTTAGAATTAAAAAGAAAATAATCAGGCACATCATATTTAAAAGAAGGTATTTTTAGACCCATTAGGCAGTTATATCTGTAAAGGTTCTATTGTTTTCTTTGGGGAGGAAGAGGCAGCAAACTTGTTCCTGAAGTTAAATTGAAATAATTGTTTATTATTTTGCCAGGAGGCGTGACCTCACTAAACCCGGTTGTAGTCATGAAATACAAAACAACAATTGCAAAACTTTATTTGTTAGGTATTTAAAGTGAAAATTGATTCTGAAACATTAAAACAGACTTATTTAACTTCTTAAATGAATGTTAACATTTAAATTTGTGTATATGATCAAAACACCAGTTTTTCTAGAGATGCTGAAGATCTAAAGTACAATTTATAAAGAGTTAAGAGTTTACAAACTGTTTAATTTAACACAGTAAAACACTTCTTACATGCTGATCTTTTAAATTGCAAGGAATACTGCAAAATAAAATTATACAATAAGCTTTATGATTCTGAGTGAAATATAATACACTGCTTATAGAAAGAGAAATTCAATTCTAATATACATATTTCCTGTGCTGTATGTAATAAGGTAAAGTTAGGTTTGCCAAAGAAAAATAGCATGCCAAATTCTATTTCAATTTTAGGTAAACAATGAATAGTTTTTTAGCATAAATATATCCTATGTAATATTTGGTTCGCCTATATTCTTATTAAATTTGGCAAGCTTGGATAGAGGTAATGATAGCTAGTGAATTCTATGTTTTATAAATCAAGACCAGAAGGGAACACAGTAACTTAAGGGTTGAAAAGATGGTAAATTTTAAAAAGATACTTATATTCTGAAGAAAGTTAGCTATCTCTGTGGTGCTACCCTTTTGGATTACCAAATGTTTTAGATACATCAAAATATTATCAAGTGGATAGTCTATCCTAGAAGATAAAAGATTATAAGTAATTTTTAATTCTTTCTACTTTTCCATATATTCTTCAATTCAAGTGAAGGAAAACTTTTTTTTTAAAATATATTTTATTGATTTTTTATAGAGAGGAGGAGAGAGGGATAGAGAGCTAGAAACGTCAATGAGAGAGAAACATCAACCAGCTGCCTCTTGCACACCCCCTACCGGGGATGTGCCTACAACCAATGTACATGCCCTTGACCAGAATCGAACCTGGGACCTTTCAGTCTGCAGACCGATGCTCTACCACTGAGCCAAACCAGTTTCGGCGGAAAACTTTTGCTAATGGAGAAAATTTAATAACCTATAAAAATCTTTGGAGCATTTGGAGAAAAAAGAAAAAAAAATGCTTTCTATGAAGTCTAGTAATATATAAGAAAAAATCTGTATGATAATGTAATTATATATCTATTAATTGTGTGTGTGTGTGGGGGGGGGGATTATTGCCAGAAACTAACAAGCTATCCTCTGAAGTAATCAAACATTTTAAAGAACAGGATGCCATTAGCAAATCAACAGGGTTCTGTTCTAAGTACTCAAAGGGAAGAGGTCAGCCTCACAGTGTAATTATTGTCTACCCTGAATTACCTTAGGTCAAGATCAAAGAATACTATTTTAAATGGGATGGTTCTTGTGATGGTACTATATTATACTCTAATACTAAATTTGATTAATATAGGTAGCCAATGCAGATCCAATAATCTCCAGTAAATTTTTTGGTTTTATATTTAAACTTCCAAGTCTCTTCCTCAATTACCCTATGGTACTCACTTCATATTGGTATCTTGTCTAAGGGAAGAGAATATTGATAGTAAATACTGGCCTCTGAGATTACTACAGAAGAGAGATTTGTACTTGTTTTTTTTTATTTTGTTACTAACAATTCTCCCCTGAAATTAATTTGCAAAGAATACTATAGACATGCTGTATCTTGACTCACTACAAAATTAACTTCTTAAAGATAATTTTAGTTATGGAATAAAATTTGTCAATAATATGGGTTACTTATGAAAACTTATCAGCTTAAAGTCTTGGTTGGCATAGAGAATTCTATCTAATAAAGAGGGAATATGCTAATTGACCTTCACAATGTTGCAAAATGGCGGCGCCCACAGTCAATAAGGAGGGAATATGCTGACTGCCACGCTCTCAAAGATGGCGGCACCCATAGCCAATAAGGAGGGACTATTCTAACTGACTGCCACACTATCAAAGAAGGTGGCGCCCACAGCCACAAGATGGTGGGGCCCAGTCCCCTCAGCCCCACTGAGTGGCAGATGCGTAGCAAGGCTGGGCCTACCCCCAGGCGGGCCTGGCTGTTCTGCTCACCTGCCTCCAGAGTCCCCTAGTCCCGTCAGACCCCCAGCCCCCAAGGCGCAGGCAAGCCTTGGATGGCAGCTGCCCAGCCACCCAGGGACGGCCCGAGGTGCAGGCAAGCCACAAATGGCCATTGCCCAGCTGCCCAGGGCTGCCCGAGGCTCAGGTAACTAGGGCTGGCTGAAGCTTGCACTGCCAGCAGTGGCAGGTGCAGAAGTGTGATGGGGTATCACCTTTCCCTGATCACCGGGTCGTCTCCAGCCCCTGAGGGCTCCTGGACTGTAAGAGGGAGCAGGCTAGGCTGAAGGACCCCCTCCCCTCTCCAGTGCATGAATTTTCATGCACTGGGCCTACAGTTCTATATAAATTATGTTCATAGGGGAGTAGGGGCAGGATGGGGGGGGGGTTGTCGATGGGAAAAAAAAGGGGGACATCTATAATACTTTCAACAATAAATATAATTTTTTAAAAGAACCAATAAAATATATTTTAAAAATTATGTTCATACTATAGGAGCAGTTCAGTATCTCTTAGAAAAGAACTTCTCAAACTATCTGAGGCAAAGGAACATATTTCTCTACAACCTGTAAAAAAAAAAACCCAGTATTTTTATAAAATAAAAATAAGTCACTCGAAAAAGAAACTTAAGCCCTTGGATACTGTGGCACTATTACATTGCAGAGGAGTTTTTATTCCTGATTTCTGTACTCATCTCATAACTGGTAATTTACAGGCCATCACTGGTCTGTGGACAACACTTTGCAAAGCAATGTCTTAAATCATACTTACTACATGTTTGTATATATCGCAAAAAAACATGTTAAGAATTCATATTAAAAAAAAATTTAATTACCTTTTCCTATAAGGACTCCAATTTTTGAGTCTAACTTTTCCCCTGGGTCACAACTTCTAGTCACTAATTTGAGAACTGGAAGAAAAGGTCTGACATCACAGAGTCTTCTTGTTTCATCTTCGAGCTCCTCATATACAGCAGTTTGATTCACACATGCAAACATATAGGAGTCAACTTCCATAAGGAGGTTAAACATTGGGTAATCATGAATCTGTGTCCACAACATCTGCAGGATAAAAATAAGACATTTTCTGAAATGGCACTTGCTTAAGTGCACAAAGACACATCTACAAGGATACTCACTGTAGCACTATTTCAAAAACTGAAGACAAATGTTTAGCAGTAAGAGACTGGTTAAATAAATTGTAGAACATTAAAGAACTATAAATATAAAATAGAAATATGGAAAACTATTAAAGACATATTAAGGTGTGTTTCTTTAAAATAAAAAATTGCAAGAGAGTCCTAACCGGTGTTACTCAGTGGTTAGAGGATTGGCCTGTGCACAGAAGGGTCTTGGGTTTAATTAAATGTGAGAATAAGAATGAGGATGATTTAAATGTTCATAAGAGATAAAGCACGAATCAAAATTTTTAAATGTCATGAGCTGAAGGTTAAAAGTCCCTCAATTTATCCTTTGGTTTACATTATACTTTCCATAATAAAAGAACATGTTCCCTTAAGTGTTATAGTAATAAGCTACATTTATAGAAATTCTAGTATTATCATACCTGTTTAATATTAGAAATGGTAGCATCCCGAGGTACCTCCAACTGGATATAAATCCCAGTGGGCAAAAGGAAATCCACAGGTATGGAGCCATCAGATGCTATCTGTGAATCCACTGCCCAGATGTCAAGGATGTCTGCCATAGCAGGAGGCATTATGAAATTGAAGCACATTCATAACCATGGGGCCCTAGAAATCAGTAAATAAAATTTAGTGAATAGTTAACCAGATATTATACTAAAATATGATAAAGCCCACAAATCCATAATTAGTTCTTGTGTTTCAACATAGCCAGTAATGTAATCAAGCAACAGTAAGCCAACAGAAATAAAATACTTAAATATACTTTGGTTATCACCACATAAATATTATACAAATTGGTTATCACTACATAAATATTATACACACACACACAATCGCACCCCCGCCCAACTGACTCAAATTCAACATAAATATATCACATGTAAAAGATGAACAGTTAAGGATTATAGGGTCCTGAAAAAGTTAACAATCACTCAACAAGTGATTATTTCCAGACTTTGCTTAGATGATACTGGCTTCTTTGGCTGACTTTTTCTTTACAAACTCCAATGAAAATAGCAATCAAGAGCCTTCTTTCGAAAATAATTTTCTTCCAATTTCATGTACGAAACAAAATATCATCAATTTAATCCCATGACCTGCCACCTAAGTATTAAAAAGACCAAATCCGCCGAAACCAGTTTGGCTCTGTGGATAGAGCGTCAGCCTGCGGACCGAAAGGTCCCGGGTTCAGTTCCGGTCAAGGGCATGTACCATGGTTGAGGGTACATCCCCAGTAGGGGGTGTGCAGGAGGCAGCTGATCAATGATTCTCTCTCATTGATGTTTCTAACTCTCTATTCCTCTCTCTTCCTCTCTGTAAAAAATCAATAAAATATATTAAAATAAATAAATAAAAAGATCAAATCCCTCTACCCAGCTAGCAAAATCCTTGGTACTATGTTTCTGGCCTATGTTCCTTTCCTCCCAGCATTTCATAGCCCAGACCCTTGTGCCTCAAGTGCCTTTTGCCTTCCTACTGTTAGACCTATGTTCATTGAGGCTGACACTCCTGCATCAAAACCCTATCCTAACCAGTGCCCCCCTCACTGTGTCATTTAAGTCTCATATATTCTTTAAGAGCTTTCGTAAAGAAGGTATAACAACAGTGGAAAGAACATTGGCTTTGAAGTTAAATAAACCTAGATTCAAATCCCTTTATTCAAAGTATGAAAGTATCACAATAAAAGACACAGGAGCCAACTTAAAAAGCATCTGAGCATCAAAAAGAATGATGACATCCGTGGGTTGAAACACATCAAATATATAAAATGTGCGACTTAATAATGATATCAATAAATAAACCCTTTATTTGTCACCATTGAAGGCTGCTTAAACCAACTCATTATTTTGAAAACTGATAAAAATGAGGGCCTGTAAACCATACACTTACCTGCTTGTTTATACTATAAATTCAGAATTGATGAGTTTTAGGTGTGTGTTTTTAAGAACAATTTTAGGTAATAAATGCAAAAAGAATAATATAATTAGAAAAATCACCATATTACAACCTCTAATGAAATAATGGATTTGGGCAAGGATCATTAATGAATGCTAAAAAGAACTTTACAATGTAAGGTGAAAAAATAGGGAACTTTACAATTCAGGTTGACACCATCTAAATTCTCTGAATAATCCAGGTGGAACTTTATCATTCAGGTTGACACACCTAAACTCTCTGAATAACCCAGACATGACTGTTCCTGTACTACAGCAGTAAGTACTACACAGTCACTACATATATGGTATTTTTAAAATAAATACCATAGATTTATTAAGACTTTTTAAAAAATGTACTTGAATCTAATGAAGTTCCAAATTTGATATATCTTCCAGTTTATAGAAACTAGGGGAAATAGAGGAGAAAGTTAAACAATCAAGGAAGCAATCAGTAAGTAGTGTCCAAAATGCTGGATCATCAGTAAAACAATAACAAGAAAGCAAACTAATTAATAACAGGAAGGAAAAGGCTGGTGGGAGGACTGTTAAAATAATAAAAGAATACTTAGGAGACATAGTCAAATTCAATGTTGATTTGAACAGATCCTCCATTAAAAAAAAAACTATCTTTCAAACAACCTAGAAAATTTAAATATGGATTGAATATTAGATGATATTGAGTAAATCCTGTTAAGTTTGTGACATATAATACTGGAATGTTATGTTTCTAAAAATCAGTGCTATCCATTAGAGATGCATAATGGCAGTACATGTAGGTGTAAATATTATAATGAAGACACATATTCATACAATTGTTCACAGAAGCCTTACCTATACTATCCAAAAATTGGAAATAATTCAAATGTCCATCAACAGATAAATGAGTAAAAAAATTGTGACATATTTTTTTAATTGTGACATATTCATACAATGGAGTACCACACAGTAAAAAAAAAAAAAAAAAAAAAAAAAAAAAAAAAAAAAAGCATTAATATAATATATTCAGTATTATGGATGAATCTCAAAAGAATTATGCTGACTGAAAAAAGTTGACGAAAAGAGTACATACTCAATGAATTCCATTTACATAAAATTCCGGAAAATGTACACTAAACTATAGTAACAGATTAGTGGCCAACTTGTGTGGGGAAGTGAGTGGGAGAAGCAGGGAGCGAGGAATACAAAGGAACACAAGGAAATTCTTGGTAGTGCGGGATGTGTTGTATTTATTATCTTGATTATGTTGTGCTTGCAAATTCTATAATGCATCAAATATGTCAAGTTATGTACTTTAAATATGTGTACTTCATTATATATTAATTATACCTCAATAAAGCCTTTTTAAAGTTATTATTATTTTTAATGAGAGGGCTAGATGCAACAAGAAAAGCAAAATGTTGATACTTGCTGAAGCTGGGTGATGAGAAGTACATTCTATTACTCCTCTGCTTTTGTGTACACTTGTAATTTTTCATAATAAAAAATTATTACATCTAGCCGGAACCGGTTTGGCTCAGTGGATAGAGCGTCGGCCTACGAACTGAAAGGTCCCGGGTTCGATTCCGGGCAAGGGCATGTACCTTGGTTGCGGGCACATCCCCGGTAGAGGGTGTGCAAGAGGCAGCTGATCGATGATTCTCTCTCATCGATGTTTCTAACTCACTCTCTCTCTTCCTCTCTGTGAAAAATCAATAAAAATATATTTTTAAAAAAAATTATTACATCTAATCTAAACTACTTACCCTGTATGTGAATTTTGGTAAGTCACTGAAACTTCCTGAATTTCCACTAACTAAAAAAAATAAATACTATGAGGTCAAGATAGCCACGGCCTAGGAGTACATTAATCTTGTTCTTTAATGAACAAATTCAAATATACTAGTACATGTATATGGAGAGCAAGTACTCCTACGAGACAACTAAGGGCTGAATGAATAGCTTTTGAACAGTAAATGAGAGAAAGAGACAGAATACAGAAGGAACTCTCTAGGGTGGAGGAGTAAGTGAGGGCCACTTTAGTTCTCCCCCACTTAGATATGGTAGACTGTATTCTCTTCTGGTACTTTGGCCTACCAGCTAGATGATTATAGCACATTCCCAGCTACACTGCCCAAAGCCTTTTGCTTCTAAACACAGAAAACAAGCATGAACAAAATGATGTCACACACACATCTGTCCTCCCTCCCTGGAGCTAACTCCAGGCAAGCAAGCTGGTGCCCAAGGCTCCAGAAACTTCTGCATGGCTCCACCTGTCTTTGCCAAACTGCCAGGCAAATAAAGACTAGACATCATGCCCTGACCAGGGGGCTCAGTTGGTTGGAGCATCATCACGTACACCATGTATTAATAATAAAATATTATTCAGAAATAAGAAAATAAAAGCTTGCCATTTGGGACAAAATAGGTGGACCTGGAAAGTAAACAGCATATTATCTATCATATATGTGGATTTTTTTTTTTTTTTTTTAAGGAATAAACAAATCAGCCCTAGCTGGTTTGGCTCAGTGGATAGAGCATGGGTCCGAGGACTGAAGGGTCCCAGGTTCAATGCCAGTCAAAGACAAGTACCTTGGTTGCAGGTTCAATCCCAGACTTGGTCAGGGTGCATGTGGGAAACAATCAATTGATGTGTCTCTCTCACATTGATATCTCTCTCTCTATCTTTCCCCCTCCTTTCCACTCTTTCTAAAAATCAATGGAAAAATATCCTCAGGTGAGGATTAACAAAAACAAAAACAAAAAAACACACACAAAAAAACAGAAACATATCTATACATATAGAGAACTAGTGGTTGCAGAAGGGGAGGGAAGAGGAGGATGGGAATATACCATTCATTCACCAGAAGGTAGCAGGTTTAATTCCTGGTCAGGGCATAGTTAATAATTGCCAAAAATGTGTTGCTCTATCAAGCATTTTTTTGTTATCACACAAAGCAGATTATTATTGTAGATCATGCAGGGAGAACAAAGGTACCATCTCAAAATGCATTATAAATTAAAGTTTAATCCTTTAGCTTTATATAGCTAACCATGCTCTCTTTGCTCACTAAAGGAATACCAATCTCCAAATGAAAGACTCAGGTTAGAGTTTATCTATTTTTAATGCCATTTTCATTTAATTAGCCAAAAGTACAGCAACCTAAAGACTGGGGCTGTGATCACAGTAGGATGTATTTATGGAATTGCTGTAGAACACTTGATTGACAGTTGGCACCCTCTAGCTCACTGTGCCAAGTGAGCATATTAGGCATCAGCTTCTCGAGGAGACCTACTGATGGAGCATGTAGCCCAGGTATTTCTTGCCAAATGGGAGCTCTTTGGTGAAAAATCCTTTAGGAAAAGGTTTCTTGGCTTCCTCTTTAGGATGGTTGGAAGGGCCATAACACTGTCTCCAACTTCCCAATCACCTAGGATGGCAACTCTTTTCTGCAGGCAGTTGGAGAAAGAACTACTCCAAGAATCAGTTCAAAGTTCCTGCCAGTGATAGTTGGGTAAAGGATAGACAGCTTCAGTTTCTTATCAGGACCAAAAACAAACACCAGTGTGCCATCACAGGCATGCCCTTTTTGCCCTCTTCTGGGCCCAGCATGCCCCATAGGACAGTGAGATCCCAGTTCCTATCATCAATGATGGGAAAAGGTAACTTTTCCATG